AAAAATATTAATTTACGTTTAGAGTAAATTTAGTAATTAGGCGATAAAAAATACTCTCTAAATTTTAATTAGTTAAAATGTTTATTAATTTGAATTAGTGACTGAATTTTTGCTTTTGAATTAGTAAATTTTACTAATAAATAGTAATTTCTACTAATTTTTTTAGTAAAATTTACTAATTCCAAAGCAAAAACTCAGTCACTAATTCAAATTAGTAAACATTTTTACTAATTCAAATTTAGAAAGTACTACAAAATTAATATATTTTGTCAGTGGCGTCACCATGTTGTTAAAATACCTTCCCTGTTTGAAGAAAATACCAAAATTTAATTCAACTGAATTTAATTTATTTTAATTTACTTTAATTTAAGTTTTAAATCCAACAATATAAAATTTAAATTCACTTAAAAAAAATAAAAAATATTCACAAATTTTTATAACTTCAAAGCAATAATTAAAAAATTTATTTTTAATTCTCAAAATTAATTTAATCTACTAATTTTAATTGAAGAAAATAAAATGAAAAAGCTCGTCAAACAGAGAAGGTTAAATAATAAAAATTTTGCAATATTGAGCCGATTGTTTAATCGACTCACTTTTACAGTGGGATCACAGTTTGTGATTGACCACTTTTGTGATTCCCCCGGTGGATGATGAGCCCACGTTGTGGCAATGGGAAGATCCAGCGACATCGCCCGTTCTGGGCCACCCCTGAAGATCCCTGGCTCTTGATCGCACTTCTGCGCCAGGTCAGGGGCCACACGGAACCGTGAAATAAAAATTAAGAAAAAAAAGAAAAAAAATAGACTAAATTAACTAATAAAAAAATTAAAAAATAGACTAAGTAAACTACAAAAGAAAATAAAAAAAACACGGCAGTGTGCTGGGACCTCTTTTCTTCTCCACATCTTCGACAATTTTTGCATTGTCATACCCTGAAAAAGAAAATTGATTAGAAACATAAAGAACTTTAACCCTCCACCTCCTTAGTTGACCATTATCGAAAAAAAAAATTGGGAATTATATTCAAAAATATTAGAATGGGAATTAGTCAGCGTAGGCAGAGGGTTAAATTTGAACTAAAAAGATGAATTGAAATTAGAAAAAGTTCCTCATTAGCTTCTAAAAAGCTGCATTTTACTCACTCCGGGTGTCTGTTACTATAAATTCACAAGAAATAAAATGTTACAAAGTTTTTGATTAAAACTTATCAGTAATTTCAGAATTAATTTTCAAAATCTAATATTACCAAAAATAAAAAAAAAATTTCAAAATCTAATTTTACCAAAAATAAAAAAATAATTTCAAAATCTGATTTTACCAAAAATAAAAAAATATACTCACTATTAAGAAGTATGAGCGTCATAGTGGAAGAATTTTTCTTTTTCAGTAGAGAAAACTTCCTCCTTGTAGGCCATCTAAAACAAAATAAGAAAAATATTTTAATTGTCAAGAAATTTATCAATCCTCCAAGTCAAATATTTGTTTAATATTTGACTTGGAGGATTGATAAATTTCTTGACAATTAATATTATCTTTTACCGAGTGATAAATTCTACTACTTAAGAAAAATATTTGTTTGTTAATATTTCATTTTTTCGTTCCAACTATTATTAGACACTGTTGATCAAAATTTTCATAAATTTTTACCTCTACCGTACAAATACCAAACCTTTGCGAGTTTACCGCATTGTAATAAAAATACAATACCGCTTTCAAGATGATAGTATTCGTAATTAAAGAATTCACCAAAAATGACCAGTCCTTCTTCTTATGGGCCAATGATGACCAATGATGACATTCTCTTCCTTGGAAAAAAATTATCCATTGAACTGCACTCAACTATGTTCGATCTTCTCCAAAAGAGCAGCTCCGCAAGAAACTTTCATCCCTCAAGAAATTGACTCCTTTACATAGAAAAAATACAATTTATAATAATTGAATTTTTCTTGTCATGAATACTATTATTTATGAAAATAATTGAATTTTTCAATGAATTTTATTAAAATTCCTAAAAATAATTGAATTTTGTCGAGGAATTTTTCTATTCATTTATGAAAATTATTGAAATGTTAACGACAAATTTTTTAGATTTTTTAAAAATAATTGAATTTATGAGAAGAATTTCGGCTAAAAATTTTGCTATTTATAAAGATAATTAATATGTTGATAAGAATTTTTTAAAAAATATTTTGAAAATATTTAAATTTTTGGAAAGAATTTTAAATATTTATAAAGATACCTATAGTTGAATTCTTTCGACAAATTGTGTTAGAATTTTTTAAATTGAAACTAATTTCAACAGAATTGAAATTAAAAATTTTCAAAAAAAATACTTCATTAAATTTAGTATTTTTTATATAAAAATTTCACTTTGTTGCACTTTTTCCCCAGTTTGTAAAATACTTTTACAAAATTTAATAAAGATTCTCTCTCCGAAAAATTTAATTTTTTCCAGTACTTTTAATAAAAATCAAGAAATCTATTAATTATTAATTAATTTATTTATTGATTATTTTAATATAATCATACTTTCCTGACCAATTCTACTTTTCCTGACTTTTCCCTGAATATCTTGATTTCCCTGACCTGTGGCAACCCTGAATTTGGAAATTGACATTATAATTCGGAAATACAAAATAAATTACCTAAATAAATAAAATTAAAAATATATTAGAAAAATAATAAAGTAAATAAACGATTATGTAACAAAACTTGCGGTAGAAAATAGAAAATAAAAGGAACAGAAGAAATATATAGAGGTAGAAATAGAAAAAAATATTTGCATAATTAATAACTTACTATTTACAATAAAATGCCAATTGCCGTATAAATTATCTCTTGTCGTCGTGGATAGCAAAGCATGAATTTAGGGGAAATCCACCAAACCAAAAGCGAGAAAGCTGAAAAATACATTATTTCTGATTCAATTTGTCTACTTGCCACCTCACTTTCTTGTTCAATTACATACCATACACTAATAAAAATCATTGTTTAAATTTTAACCATTTTAAGGTTATGTCAATTACCTGACAATAACAATATGTAAAATTGAACAAAAATTTCAAAAATCGAACTAAAAACTCATACTCTTGAGAAGATTATCTTATGTTTCCAATATACAGCACAAAAGCTCTCTCAAATTGTGGCAAATTTCAGGAAAAAAATTATTGCTTTCATGTTTGTCAAATCCATCAACGACAAAAAAATGTAAACCACAATACACAATCAGCGAATCAAAAATACGAATTATAAAAAATAATGCTGAATTTGTCAATAATTTACATAGGTGATTTGCCGTGATTATAAAATATCTAAATAAGGCAAATAACATATGACAGCTGATGCAAAACAGCAGAGGTCATTGACCGTCGATATTTTTGTTATCGATTACCAATGAGTAAAATAATATTGATTGTCAAAAAATACTAACCTAAACTTCGAGTACTGTTCGAAAGTAAAAAATATTAATAAATAATGACAAATTTAATAATAATTTGACATAATTATTACATTTTACAACCAGAAAATGAAGATTGGCAAACAATAGAGGGCGCTGGGAATGAATCGACCTTTTGTCATAAATTAAACAATTTTTTGCAAAAGTTTCGAAAATCTATTTCTGCTAGCTCAGGCAAAAATTATATTGCAAAAAATAGTTTAGACAAAATAAAGAAAAATAACGATTTGGTTTCGAAAATAGTGTCAAAGTCGCACGGCAAGCGCATACTTCCGCTTCCTTCTGCTCGCCGTGGCGTACTGAATAAAAAATAAAGAACAAAGGGGGAAAAAAATTGTTTGCTACATGCTACCTTTAATAATAATATACCGAAATTATTACATTTTTATGAAAAACAAAGGCGGTTGCATAGCAATAGAGGGCGTTGGCAACGGTCGACATTTTGTCGAACAATTTTTGACAATATTGTTCGAAAATATTATTTCTCTTAGCTCAGTAAATAATAATATTACTGAAAATTGTTTAAAAATAAAGAAAAATTACCGATTTGGCTTAAAAATTGGCGATAATGTTGAACGACAAGCGCATACTTCTGCTCCGTGCTGCTTCCCATGGCATTCTGATCCGGGGTCCACACGACTGACAACAAGGAACAAGGGCGTTGGCCGACGCCATCTTGTTGTCGTGTGTACATGAGAATGACAAAGATTTTTGCATGAAAAATCACTACCCACAATGCAATCATCATTCAAATGTACGAAATATTAATGATAAATGGTACATTTAATAATAATTTGCAACAATTAGTGCATATATACGGAAAAAAAATGGCGATTGCAAAGCAGCAGAGGGCGTTGGCAATGAATCGACATTTTGTCATTTATTGAATTTTTTTATCAAAATTTTTCGAAAATATTATTTCCCTCATCTTAAATAACAATAATATTCCAAAAATATTTAATAAAGGAAGGAAGATTACCTATTTAGACAAAAGATCGGAGAGGATTTCACTTGGCTGGCGCTGGCATCGCATCCGCGTCCCTATGGCGTTCTGATCCGGGGTCCACAGGACTGAAAACAAGGGAAACGTGAACTGCGTTCTGATTGGCTGATAGTTTCTGCCTGTATACTGGTCAATTTTGAAACTTAGATATAATTGTAATACTAATTAATTAACAATTAGATTATTATTACTGAATTATTATTGTAATATAGAATTATATTTTATTTGTTAGTAAGCAAAGCATCTTAGTTTGCAATTTTACTTTTTAGATTTTAATAGAAATGTGATTATTCATGCTTTTGCAACTGCTTTTTTTCGAATGTCGTAGCAGTAGCTACTTCCGGTTGCGCACAAAAATAATAGTTGCGTTCTGTGGCTAAGTTCAGCTTTCTGAAAAATAACAATTTCGACAAACGACAATTTTTTGTTTTTATTCTTTGTGTGAATTATTAATAACTTTTGCAGTTCTTGTGTCATGTCTAGTGTTTTTCTCCTAATTTTTAATAAGTGAATAAATTCGGACGTAACAATATTTTTAATTCTCGTTTACGAATGATTAAAAAATCAACAGATCAACATAACCTGAAATTCTATTTACTTCAAGGAATCGTTATTCGTTCTTAATTTATTTACACTATTTTGATTTATAGGATTTATTTAATTAAATATTTATGTAAGATTAAATTTAATTATCTAATTTTTTTTCTTTACAGCTGGATTAAAAATCCAAAAAGGAATAAACGAAATCGAGGAAAAATGTGCCGCAAGTCCAGGAGGTGGTTCATTATCAAGTGGGTGTTCAATAGTGACAATTGCTTCCGTATCAAACTCTGAACCAGATCCTGATTATCCAAATGGTCCAGAGAAACATACAGAAAAAAAGCACAGTAGCCTAAATGAAAAATGGTACGAAACGACACTTCAAGTCTCGGTTCCTTTCTTTATTGCCGGCATAGGAACTATTGGCGCTGGACTTGTTCTCGCCGAAGTTCAAGTAAGTTAAAGAAAACTTTAATTAAAAAAATATTTATAAACAGAATTTTTATTTAAGGCATAATTTTATGTTTATTGTTGAATAAATTAATGAATAATTTTCAGAATTGGCCGGTGTTTAAAACAATATCACAATTATTTATCCTGGTTCCTGCCCTTTTGGGCCTGAAGGGAAATTTAGACATGTGCCTCGCGTCACGTCTTTGTACACAAGCAAATTTAGGAAATATGAATTCCTACAGAGAAATAACGAAAATGGTCATTGGAAATTTAGCTTTAGTTCAAATTCAATCAATCGTTGCTTCGACATTGGTCGCCCTTTTTGCCATTACTGTATCAGCTGCGATGGATGGTAAATATTCATGGGACCATTCTCTTCTAATGATCGCCTCTAGTGTTTGCACAGCCACAAGTTCCTGCTTCATTTTAGGTAATTTTACTAAATCCCATTATCATCGACAGCTGCCTGCTTATAACAAACGTAACAAAAATTTAAATCAATTCTAATTTTAAGGTTAAAAAAAGTCTACTTGCAGAGTTTAATAACAACTGATTACAGAAATTTCAATTATTTTCATAAATAATAAAATTTTCCTCCAGAATTTAATTGTAATTTGAAAAATTATAATAAAATTGATCATAGAATATAATTATTTTCGTAAAATATATAACACTCTTCCTATAAGTACAATTATTGTCAAAAATGTTTGTAAAAATCTTTGAAACAATTCAATTATTTTCGTAAAAAATAAAATTCTTGGAAGCAATTCAATTAGTTAAGAAATTTTAATAAAATTCTGCCCAAGAATTCAATTCTTTTCAAAAATAAAATTTTTCACAGAAATTCAATTATTTAAAAAAAAAATTTAATAAAATTCTACATTACATTTCAATTATTTTCAATTTTTAATTAAATTTCTGGATGGAATTTAATTATTTTAAAAGAGTTTTATAAATTTCAGAGAAATTCAATTATTTAAAAAAAATTTGAATAAATATCTTCACAAAAAATTACTTACTTTCATAAATTATAATATTTTTTTCCGAAATTCAATTCTTTGAAAAAGTTTTTAATAAAATTCGTTGCAAGAATTATTTTTATAAATAACAAAACTTATCGCAGAATTCAAATTATTTTTTATACAATTTTAAATAAACTGATAGAAAATTGCATTTATTCTTGAAATTACTTTTTAAATTCGCCAAAAGAATTCAATTATTTAATAAATTATTTATCTTTCTATTTAAATAATTGAATTCTCGAACATTTTTCTAATAAAAGTTGATTAAAAATATGAATTTCATTTGAAATTTTAAATTATAATTGAATATTAAAAGCATAGAGTGAATTTTTAAAAATTATTGAATTTCGAAAAGGGTTTAAATTAAAAAAAGTCAAAATTTTAACAGAAAATTAGGGAAAAGTCAGGGAAAAACAAAATTAAATTTTTGTGGCAACCCTGACTTGTAATTTTACTGTCAGTTTTAATAATTAAAAAAGAGACTATTCACACTTGTATCAGATGTAAAACAAGATAAAATTTTCAATTATTAACGTCCTGCTTTGATAGTGTATACTGTAATTTTCAAAAAAGGAAACAAGAATAATCAACTTTTTTGAATGATAGTGCGCTTTGATAAATTTACACGCGCAGTATTTTAAAAATCTCTCACGATCAACAAACACTATCTATTTGTGAAAAGAAAAATTTAAAAAAAAATATATTATGTAAACAAAATAAATGTCGATTATCTTGATTGTCGCGTTTGACGACAAAGGTTGTTTATTGTTTGTCGGGCATTCTTTCGCAAGAAATTGTGACGAATTTGAATCTCGATTTTTATCATACAATGCTTGTGACGTCCAATAAAAAAAAATTATGTATCAAATATTGTTTTCAATACGAAATTCGCGTTAATTTAACAATTTGTCAATAATTGAATTTTTTCTTCGTTATTCATAAAAAAAATAGTAATTAAAATTGTAGAAATATAAAACAATGAATTTAATGAACTGAATGAAGATTAGAAGTTTAATTTAAAGAAATTTGAAATTGAAGTAATTAAAATTAAAAATTAAATTCCTTTTTTTAAAAAAGAATCGTTTCTTTTTCTAAAATAATAATTTCTTTTTTAGATTTTGTGATGATTGCAGTCATTATGTTCTCACATCGTTGTAAAATGAATCCAGACAATTTGGCAACACCGTTGGCAGCATCAATTGGCGATGTTGTCTCAATAAGTGTATTATCCGCTATCGCCTCTTCATTTTTCCTAAAACTCGAATCGGAAATTTGGATTTTATACATAATTATCCTTATGTATTTGATTCTATTACCGTTTTGGATTTACATTGTTTTACACAATAAATATACAAGGAATGTATTAACTTCTGGATGGGTTCCAGTGATATCTGCTCTATTTATCAGTGGGTGAGTTGCTTTTTTACAATATTTCATTTAATATGTTTAAAATTACAAAAAAAATTGAAAGAATGATAAAATAATAAGAAAACTAAATACCTAGCAAAATAAAAATTATTTCATAGAGAATAGAAAATTGAAAATAAAATTTCTTTTTCAGTCTCGGTGGGCTTGTACTCGATCAAGCGGTAAATGTTCTCAATGGATTCGTAATATTCCAGCCGATTATCAATGGAATTGGGGGAAATTTAGTTTCAGTTCAAGCCTCAAGAATATCAACAATGCTACATCAAACATCCCTAATGGGCATCATTCCTCCACACACAAAATTATTCGTTTCTCCATGGACTGCTCTTGTCAAAGGAGGTAATACTTGTCAAAATCTCGTGGTTTTATTTTTTAATAAAATAATATTCGTTGCAAAATAAAATAATATTTATTGCAAAATAAAATAATATTCATTACAAAATAAAATAAAATTCATAACTAAATAAAAATAATATTCATTACGAAATAGGAATAAAATATAATTCATAATGAAATAAAAATAATATTCATTACGAAAGAAAAACAAAATAAAATTCATTACAAAAATAAATGCTAAATATTTCTAATAGAAAAAAATTGACAAAAAATGTTTATATTTCAGTACCATCAGCAAAATCTGCACGAATTCTCATTGCCATGTCGATCCCAGGTCATCTAATATTTATCTTCGCCGCTGATTATTTTAAACATGGACACTCCACCATTCACATTTCTTTTGCTGTATCTTATCTACTGGTTGCTTGCCTGCAGGTGAGATTTTTCTCTCGCATTATACAAATATTAGAATATATGAAAATTAAAAAAATTTCAATCGTCAATTATTATCAAATGACTTTCAATAATTGAATGAAATCAGCAAACATTGTCGATCTCATTAAAGATAGCAAACAAATAGAAAAATTTGAAAAGTTAAAAATAAATTTTAAATTTAATTCAAATTTAGAATTAGAAATACAATAATGCAAATAATACAAAAAAAATACAAATTTATCCATTTTCTTCTTTTCTGCATTCTTTCTTTAATAAAATTGTCATTATTTTGTGAAATACAGGTAATGCTTTTACTTTACGTGGCACACATAATTGTTCACGCAATGTGGAGCCACAAGATTGATCCGGACAATTCGGCGATACCATATCTGACAGCATTGGGCGATCTTTCTGGCTCAATTTTCCTAGGAGCAGCAATGTACTTCCTCATGTCAATTGGTAGACAATACGGTGGATGACAATAAGTGGTAAACAAAATTTTTTTCTAACTAGAAATTCAGAAATGACTTTTCTGAAACGTTTCAGAAATCATTTTTCTGGAACAATAGAATATAAACTGAGTTTTATATTTTATTCAAAATAAATTGGCACAGTGATGAAAAATTTCTGTCTCGAGATTTATAAAAAAGAAACCGAAATTCTCAAAAAGCATGTGACAAAAAAATCTTCCACATCTCATGTGCCAATAATCTAGTCCAATTTTTTCCAAAACAGAATAATACAAAAATCAATTCTGTTACTCGAAAGAAAAAGATTCATAAAAGCATTGAATTTTTAAAAACTAGATAGTTTATTTATAAAGTCAATGTAACTTTATAAAAAAATCTTTTCATAAAAGTCATATTTATAAAATTAAATCAATGAATTTACTTTACCTTCTCATTTTTTATGAGAATGTAAAAAGTTTCTAAAATATTTTTAGAAAATTACAAAAAAAGTTTTTAAAATATCTAAAAAAATAAAAAAAATTTTAAAAAAATAAAAAACTGTTAAAAAAGATATAATAAAAGAAAAAATATAGAAAAATATAAAAAGTATAGAAAAAATATGAAAAAATACCAAAAAAAGATATTTAAAAAATAGAATATCATTAAAGTAATAATTTTAATGAAAATGAAGTGAAACATTAAATTATGAAAAATAAGATTAAGATTTAATATTCCAAGAAATAATTCTTCAATTTTTTAATGAAGAATTTTTCAATGAAAAAAAATGCGTTTCAAGGTTGTAAGCGCTATAAAAGAATAAGATAGGAAATTTATTGTTGTTCTGAATATTTTGTTATGTGAAAAACAGACAACAGCTTTCTTTGTCTTTATAGTTATGTAAATTTGATCTGCATACTCTTTATTGTATAAGTAAAAAAAAATATGAAAAACAAGTCCCAGAGAGAGATTTAATTAACAGTTACCTGTCATTGTCAACTTTTCGCTTTTAATCCTCAAGCTGTTTATTTTGAAACAATTTTTAATTATAGTTCAACAGCGTTTTTAAATGACATAGACTTTAATAAATTTAAAGTATTTCAGTGAATTAATTAGTAAATTGCACCTTTTATTATAATAATTATAATTTTTATTTGCGAACTGCTATTTTCTTTATAAACTAAAAATTTTAATTTGTAATCAATTTTTATATTGAATGAATGCATTCTATTTTTCCATTATAATGAATATAATATACTTGAGAGTATTACAAAAATTTATTTATAATTCTAAAAGAATTGATAAATTAACATCGATTTTTACAGTATGGAACGAATTTTTAATTAAAAATTTTTCTGAAAATCAGAAATGTCATCTGAGACATTCTGAAAAATGTTGCAATATTTTGCATTCTTAAATTCTGTACGAATGAAATGCACAAAAATAGATAGCAATGTAAGAGGAAACGTTAGCTCAAAATATATACATTTTCTAGAAAATTAATCCAATTTTCCAATTATTTTCCAAACTTGTAATTCACTTAGTTTTAAATAATCTGATTTTTTCAATTATCTTTAAAATAATTTTCCTTAAAAGTATTTGAATATAAAAAAATAGTATTTTTATGTTTTTATACAGATTTTTGAAATTATACTCATTTACTTATGTAAATTACCCTGAAAAGTGAAACAAAGAAAGACATTTAAAAAAACCCCTTTGTATAAAAATTGAAATAAAAGAAAAGGATAAAAGAAAAAAAATTAAAATTAAAAATCTTAAAAATTTGAAGTAAGACATAAATTATTTTATTTATTTAAAAGTAAAAAAAAGTTAAGTATTAGCAAATGCGAGTGACATTTATTGTCAGAGGATGACATACATGTGCCCTTAAAGTATAAACCACGAGGCTACGTAACTCTGATGTCGAACCGCTAACAAAATTATAAAGATCAATGTCGGGTCAGCCGACAAACTGGCTGCACTCATGTTTCTTCAGTAACTATGCTTCACCGTCGCAATGGTAAGTTTTTCATCATATTTTTCTTTTCAATACGACAAAAAAATTGAAAAAAACGAGAATAGAATGTAAATAAATTTTTATTTTCAGTATTTATTGTGTTTATCTGCTGGAGCGTCATCATCAATAGTGAAGCTATTATTCGCAATGAGGATATTTGCGGAATTCAAAATGGACGAAGACTTTATTTGGAACTTGGCGAACAGGGAGTGCTTTTTGCAAAAAATGTGTCCTTCATCAAAAATTCACCACGTCTTCAGGATTCGAGAATTTATACAACCAACAGTTCACACGATCAATGTAGCCTGGAACTTGTGACATGTCCATCATGCGTCATCAACTTGACTTTCAAAAGTATTGGTCTTTCTCAAAATTGCGGGGACGGAAGTTTCATGCTCGACAGTTCCTGCAGGTCCGAAATTTTTCTGTATTTTTAATTTTTTCTATAAAGAGTATTTTTATATTTTAGAGACAATTTCCTTTGATGACGAGTATATAGTTTTCTAAGTTTAACAAAGATTGTCTTGGAATTGAAAATAATATCTACTCTTTATAGTCTAGAAAAATTGACCTTAGTCTAGAAGTTGTCCTTTTTTTCAAAAAATAAGAAAAAAAAATTCAAGACTATTGAATAGATTCAAGATTTTAATTTTTACTTCTTTTCGCAGATGTGACTACGTCTGGATATCGGAACCACCATATGAAGATGTGTCCGGAACACCTTTTTGTGGATTTTACTCGCCTATTTCTTATCGGTCAAACACTAGAACCTTATCAATCACTCTTCTATACAGTCAATCGCACAACCATGCCTTCACCTTGGAATACACGTCAGAAAGTACGTTATCAATATTTTTTTTACAAATTTCGTTCTAAGAAATCGATTTTTATTTACGGTTTTCTTTATTTTGTTCAGTTTTTTTTAATTTGGTTTACACATTTATTTTACTAACAATTTTTATTTATTTAGGAAATAGAATAAATTTGCAAGGATCAGACATTTCATCAGGAATAGGAAAATCTCGAAATAGTACAATTGGAGGCATTCTCACTTCACCTTTCTTTCCGTCTCGTTATCCTCGAGATTTAGGTATGGAGTATGTTATCACCTGTCCAACCGAGTCTCCATCGTGCCGAGTTCGAGTTCTCTTTAGTGATTTTCAACTCGCTGCTGTTTCCATAATAGAGGTATTTTGAGAAAGAAGTTAAAAAAAATTTAAAAAAGTGTATTTTAAGTTAAAAGAAATTTTAAACTAAAAGAAATTTTAAACTAAAGAAATTTTAAGCCAATAAAATTTTAAACTAATGAAATTTTAAATTAAAAAAAAATTTTGAACTAAAAGAAATTTTAAACTAAAGGAAATTTTCTAATGAAATAAAATTGTAATCTTTCAGTTTTATGATTGGAATGGACAACGACTTGATGTGAGCAGTGGAGTTCGATTTCGTCCACCAGTTATCGTGAGTTCTGGTCCCTCGCTCTTGATACGATTTTACGCTAATGGAGGCACAGGTCTTGGATACAAGGCTTTTTATTCTTTTGTACTTGGTCATCTTTATGATAAATCGGTTCAGCCAATCACCGATTGCGGTGGATATGTGGAAAATTTGGGAGGTGCCATCACCATGATGGACATGGTTGATGATGGCGTCAAGATCTACGATTGTGTTTGGCTTATCAGACCTCCCAAGACGTTTCTTCAAATGAAGACACACGTTTATTTGAAGATCATTACGTTTGATGATATGGGTGAGAAATTAATTTTTCTTCTTGTGTTCGCAATTTTTTTTTCGTTTCTTTTCGTCAAGAATCTTTAACAAAATATAATTCTTTAACAAAATTATTTTTTTCGTTAACGAAATGAATTAGTTCTTTAACGAAATGAATTTGTTCTCTTAACGAAAAGAAATTATTCTTTAACGAAATAAATTTAAGGGTTGCCACAGGTCAGGGAATTCAGGGAAAAATCAGGGATTTTTATTAAAAGTACTGGAAAAAATTGAATTTTTAAAATTCATGAGAAAACTCTGAATTTTTCTTTTTTTTTTTGTTTGCCTCATAAACTATGAAATTGAAAAGAATTCTAATACAAAACCTTCAATTTTTTCTATTTCTGACAATAATTTCTTTTTAAATAACTTAATTGTTGAAGAACTACCATAAAATTATTACTTATAAATTATTTAAAGAATAATTTTACTTAAAAATTTCAAAATTAATTGGATTTCAAAAGATTTGCGTTTACAATCTTCATAAATAGATAAATTTCAAAGGTTTTAATTTGAAATTTTTGAAAATATCAATTTTTAATGAATTTAAAATTTTAAATAGGAATTTTAAGAACAACTGATTACAGAAATTCAATTATTTACAAAAGTGATAAACTTCTTCGCTTAAATTCAATTATGTTCAAAAATTTTCAAAAATTCTCGTCAAAATTTCAATTATCTTTATAAATAATAAAATTCTTCATTGAAATTCAATTATTTTTTAAAATTTTAATAAAATTCTTGGAAAAATTTCACAGGAATTCAATTATTTAAAATACAAAATTTCATACAATTTTTCGAAAAATATAAATTATTTAAAAAGATTTTTATGAAATTCGTCGCAAGAATTAAATTATTTAAAAAACTTAAACAAAGTTCTTTTCAAGAATTCAATTAATTTTATAAATAATAAAATACTTTACCGAAATTAAATTATTTTTATAAACTTGAATATATTGAAATTCTTCACAGAAATACAGTTATTTTTTGTATACTTGAATCAAATTCGTTGGAAGAATTAAATTATTTTCAAAAGTAATAAAATTCTTTGCAGAAATTCAATTATGTTCAAAAATTTTTTAAAAATTCTCGTCAAAAATTTCAATTATCTTTATAAATAATAAAATTCTTCTCCGAAATTCAATTTTTAAAAGTTTTAATAAAATTCTTGGCAAAATTTCCCAAAAATTCAATTATTTCCAAAATTTTTAATAAATTTCTTCCAAATAATTCAATTATTTTCATAAATAATAAAATTTTCACAGGAATATAGTTATTAAAAATACAAAATTTCATACAAAATTCCTTTCAAGAATTCAATTATTTTTATAAATAATAAAATTCTTCACCGAAATTTAATTATTTTTATAAACTTGAATAAAATTCGTAGTAAGAATTCAATTATTTATAAAAATAATAAAATTTATTCTTCACAGAAATTTAGTTGTTTTTATAAACTGAAATGAAATTCGTTGGAAGAATTAAATTATTTTCAAAAGTAATACAATTTTTCGCAAAAATTCAATTATGTTCAAAAATTAAAAAAAAATTCTTATCAAAATTTCAAATATCTTTATAAATAATAAAATTTTTCTCCGAAATTCAATTATTTTAGAAAATTTTTTATAAAATTCTTGGAAAAATTTTAATTATTTTCATAAATAATAAAACTCAACGCAGGATTTTAAATATTTTTGATACAATATTTTAATTGAATTTCTCAAAAAATGTAATTATTTATAAAAATTTTATTAAAATTTGTCAAAAGAATTCAATTATTTAAAAAATTGTTGATAAAATTCTTTATGAGAATTAAAGTTTAACAAACATTCAATTATTCAATAAATTATTTATTTTTTAATTTAAATAATTGAATTCTTCTAGAATTTTCTAATAAAAATTGATTTAAAAATGAATTACCAAATAATCGATTTATCATTTATGAAAATAATTGAATTATTGGAACGAATTTTATTACATTTTTGATGTTTTCAAATAATTTTACTTTTGAAGAAATTTGTAAATAAATGCAAAAGAACATTTTTTTGAGTATCTAATAATTTTTAGAGTGAATCAGAATATTCTTTAGGGTCAGGGAAAGAGTGAAATCAGGGAAAGTCTGGAAATCAGGGAAAAGTCAGGGAAAAATAAAAATAAATATTTGTGGCAACCCTAAATTTATTTAACGAAATTTATTTGTTCGATTTACAGCTGGAAGTACTGAGTTGATAATTAAACAAGGACCAACGTCAGCTTTGTTACCTTTGGAAATTTTGAGACATCCTGCCAGTAAACTACAACCTCGAAGATTAAAGGAACATATCGCTCCAATCACCAGTGGATTTCACGTCAGTCTACGAGGAACATTTGGCCCAACTTCTCACCTTGCTATGGCGTATACAACCTTCAGTTACACCGATTGCTTCACTGGATCAGATTTTCTCTGCCAAAATCATAGATGCATTCCGAGTCATTTGAATTGTGACGGCTTTGATCATTGTGGAGACAACAGTGACGAACCATCCACTTGTGTTCAAGGTAACAATTCTCTTGGAATTACTTTCCTTTCTTTTCTTCTTTGTCACTATCATTATCTTATTTTTACCTCCCTATGTACAAATTTAAAAAATACAACATAAATAAATAATATGACATAAATTCGTATTATAACATAAATTCATATTATTAATAAAATTGATTCTTTTTCAGACTGGGAATTGGCGCCACAAGACAAGAAATGGCACACGAACAAGGCAAACTATTATTTTCCAAAAATCGATCAATATCCAGATTTAAAGACAGCAACTCTTGTTTTCGTTGCTAGTAGTTTGGGTCTAATAACACTCATCTCAGCCCTCATTGTTTTGCTCTACAGAATGGGAGCAAGAGCAAGACAACAACGTGAACTTCAGTCCCGTTTACAGACAATCAGTGAATTACTAGGTATATATCTTGGGAAAAATAGAACAAAATTCCCCACGGATTAAACATTCATTAAACATTCAGTTTTTGAAATTCCAGATGGAGCAAGAATTGAGGAAGTAACTGTCACTGATGATCCACCAGACTATGAATCACCGCCCGGCTACGAGGAAGTCGTGAAACTCAGTTTGGAAAATGAACACAAAAAGCGAAAGAAAAAAAAATCAAATTCCACTTGTCAGCTTAATAGAAATTTACCTGAAAACCCGTGAGTTTTAAAATAAAAATGAATCATTCATTCATCGTCTTTTTATATAACTGAGTAATAATAAAGTTACATAAAAAGAAAATGAAAGAAAAAAATCTTACAAGATTAGACAAAAGAGAAAATAGAATTTAATAAAATTATACTTATTTTCAAAATAGGAACGATAATGAAGCTAATGGATCGGGTAATATACCGGTTGATAATGTAGCAAGTACAAGTGATTGTGTTGTCAGTAATCAACCAACAGTTCCTGAAAGTCCACCACCACCTTATAGAACACCTCCTGGAACTATTGAAAACAGGATGAAATTTTTTGCACTCTCCGAATCATCGTGTAAGTATCTTTCGAAACAAAAAAGCAAAAAATTTCTTTTTTTGGAAAAAATTTTTTTTTAAACTCTGCAAAAATTCTTTCTTTAATTTTTAGGTTCTACGGATGGTGCCACTCCAAATGGAGAGCAATATTTGGAAGTGCCAGCAGAAGGAGAAATGAATCGAGAATCATCATCATCAACTGATGCTGAATTGCTTGGTGCGTATCTGCAAAATTATCCTGAGAATCAGACTGAAAGCTCTGCTCCACAGTTGAGCAGCTGGAAAGATGCATCGACGAACATCAATCCAGAATCCGAAGCAGGATCAAGAGATCTCGAAGTCGTCAGAGACGGGGCAGAAGATAAGAGAACGAAGAGACGATCTCATAGGAGTGACGATCTTGAAGGAGGTCCATCCACTTCGACTTCCGCTCCTTCAGAAATGGAGGCTAAGAAAACTGCGAAGCCGAGATCGAAAAGAAGGGAGAAGAATAAAGGAACGCCGGGTTCGGTAAGTCCGCTGCCTAATTCGACAACAACTACTACTTCTTCTACTTCTACATCTTCTACTTCTGCATCTACTTCTTCTACTTCTACTTTTCCATCTACTTCTTCAACAACAACTTTAGCAAATTCGCAAGTATTTCCAATAGTCACTGCTCCTGTATTAACGGAAGGTATAAATTCAACAAACCCAACTCAAACTTTAAATTCCTACCCACCAATTCCTGTGCAACCTACTCAAACTTCCCTAATTTCTTCAATTAAAGCATCTTTAAATTTTCCCACTCAAACCTTTTTAATTTCATCAATTAAAACTTCCCTGCATTCTTCAAATCAAAATTCCGTGATTTCGTCGATTAAAAATTCCCTAAATACTCTGTCTGATAGTTCAGAAAATCGTCCAACTATAATCCTTAAAAATCCCGTAATTACAAATAGAATTTCGCTAAACCCTCGAGTAAAATCTGTCATTGAAGGAGCTTCATTCTCAAACTTTTCCGATACAATTCGTGATGGGGGGAAAAATTCACCAAAATACCCAACAATCATTTCACCTCTTACTGAAGAAGTTCTCCCACCGAAAATAATTTCTTCCCCTCCTGTAGAAACTCACTCTAGAAAACTAAAGTGTGTGCTAACTTCCTGTGCGGTTGCTTCATCATCTTCGGATGTGAATCCAGTTGGTAAACTGTCACCTACCGAAGCGACTTATTCAAAACGGCTTTCGCCAAAAGTTTCGGTTTCTTCTAATTCGGGAATTCCAAGTCCATCAGGTTCTTCGAGATCTGTAGGGAAAATTCTTCCGAACTTGTCAATAAAAGATTCTGTAGAGTCTGCATCAAAAATTCACAGAAATTCTTTTTTTAAAAATTCAAGTCTATCTGTAAAAGCTTCTTCGAGTGCATCAGGAAAAACTTCGAGTACTTTAGCAAAAGCCTCTAAAAGTGTATCAGCGAAAGCTTCTTCTAGTGCATCTGCGAATGCTTCTTCATCAGAAAAAGCCCCTGCAAGTTCATCAAGTTCTTCGAATCCACCAACAAAAATTTCTAGAAACCCATTAATGAAAAATTCAAATTCTTCCACAAAAGCTTCTTCAAACTTTTCCATAAAAGATCCCTCGGGTCCAGTGTCTAAATCTTCTTTAAGTTCATCAATGAACAGTTCTACTCCATCAGAAAATTCTTCATCAAATTCTCCTTCAGTTTCATTAAAAGCCACTTCAAGTTCGGCGGCAGAAACGTCACCGTCTTCTTTAGTGAGAGCTGCATCAACATCGTATGTTGACTCTCGAAAGACAGAAAAATCAAAATTAAAAACTTCCGCTAGTCATCCTGTAAAAATGTCATCTCTATCATCATCAATTCCAACAGAAAAATCATCATTGCTCTCCATCAGTAAACCCGTTTCCTCACTAATTTCTCCAGAAAGCGCCTCTCCTGGCTCCTCATCCTTAGATACAAATACAAAAAACGGTATTATTAAACTACTAGGCAATTCAAGAATAAAATCTCCATGTAAGATAAACAGATACTATTCCACTCCTTCCTCATCACCTGTCAGTACTATTGGTAAATCCTTCATGCGCAATAATTACTCACGAAAGTATTCAATCTGTTCGCATGATAGTTATGCGACAAAAATAAGTGCTCTGAGCGCGAGCAGTAGTTACGAGAAATTAAACGATGATATTGAAATACTCTCTGAATACTCAAGTAATTATGATTTTAACAGTTCAAATAATACTCCGTTTAATACGCCAAAAATTCAAAATGTAAGACCATTATCCTTAGCAACATCTTGTTCCGAACAATGTGCAAAATGTGATCTCGATAGTCTCTACGAAGGAATAAGAAGACTCGATTCTTTCATAGCTAGACGTGAGAATAATGTAAATTGTACTGGGAATTTATCGAGGGCTACTACAACACTTTTTGGAACGCCGTGTCATTTTTCAAAAAGTGTTGATAAAACTGATTGTACAATTAGAAGGAAAAGTTTTTCAAATTCCGCAGACAATGTTGACGTTTTGTCCGAATAATAATTTCTGCGATGAGAATGTGAAAAAGTAAAAATAAGGAGATAATATGCACTGGAAATAAAATTTATTTGATTCAAATAAACGATTACTTGGCTATTAATAAATAAATATTTACTGGAATTAAAAAACTTTTATTAACGTCGAATAAATATTTACTTGGATCAAATAATTTTTTTTAAATCGAAAAAATATTTACTTGGATCAAATAATTTTTATTTCAATGGAATAAATATTTACTTGTATCGAATAATTTTTATTTAAATCAAATAAATATTTACTTTCATATAATTTTTATTTAAATCCAATAAATATTTACTTGAAAAATTTACTTAAAAAAATTTTTTGCTTAATTCAAATAATTTTTACTTGAATCAAATAAATTGTATTTGATGAGTGATAAGCGTTAAATCCTTCCATAGTTTAATTTTTAGTAGTAAAATAAATGATAAATAAAGGATCATGGGAAACGTCGCAATTTTGACGATACATTGAATTTTTCAATTCTTCACCTTCCCATGATCATTAATTTTACTACTAACAAATTGTATTTGAATCAATAAATTCAGTATTTGAAGTAAATGTAATTTAATTGGTTTAAAAAAAATTGTTTCATTCAAATAAATATTTATTTGGTAATAGTCAAGTAATCGTTTATCAAATAAATTTTTTTCCAATGTAAAATAAATAAAAATAATAAATCACATGAAATAAGTGATAAAATAAATAATATAAAATAACTAAAAAAATAAATAATATGAAACAAATAAAAAAAAATAAAATAAATGAATAAAACAATTTATTATTTAGAAGGAAAAAGTATTTTTACCATATAAAAAGAAAAATAGAATAAAATAGTAAAAAAAATAGAAGTTTATAAAGGTTGTATTATAAATTATACAAATTATTGAAACTAAAATAAAATTAAAGAAATTCACAGGGAAAAAAGTATTGAAAGCAGTGAATGAAAGAGAGTATAATATAACAATGAAATAATAATAAATTAATAATAATATAATAAATTAATAATAATATAATAAAATTTTATACTCTAAAGAAAATTGTTGTTGAGTTAATTCTCTAATCAATTCTTTCTTTTAATTACATGCCTTTTCGACACGAAAGAATTTTTTATCTTGGAAACAAGGTTAAATAATTGCTGGAAGTCATTTAATTTTATGAATCAGCTGTAATATTTATTAATTATAAGTAATTTAATTAAATTTATTAATTATAGAATATTCTGTGTACTACATTTCCGTCAGTATTTCTATAAAATTATAAAATTATAAAATCCATTTGGCTCTGAATAAAAGTTTTGTATAACTTCTCTTAGACTACATGAATTAGAAACATACGACTATTTACATTATTTATTTATTTATAACAGTCAAATTCTCACAAGATAATTATATTTTTGAATAAATAAATTGTCATTGTCAACTTAATAAATACAAACAAGGACGATTTTTGTTCTGATAACTAGCAAATGTTACGAGCAAAACGCTGTTATTCCATTTGTTATTATTTTGTAAATTACAAAATTTTAAATTTAAAAATATAATAAACCTAAATTTTTGAAAATTAATTTCATATTCAAAATTTTTAAAATTAACTTTTTAAGTACATAATTAGATATTCTTGTTTATTATTTTCAATAATTTTTACAATATTTTTCTCAAGAATTCAATTATTCTGATAAATAATATTCTTCGGAGGAATTCAATTATTTTTATAAATAATATTCTTCGGAAGAATTCAATTATTTTTATAAATACTGAAATTCTTTGCAAAAATTCAATTATTTTAAAAATATTTTAATGAAATTTCACGAAAGCACTCAATTAATTCGAAAATTTTCAATAATTTGATACATTTTTTTTTAAACAATTCAATTATTTTTATAAATAATAAAATTCTTCCAATAAATTCAATTATTTTCAATGCTATTGTAATAAAATTTTTCGAATATGTTCAATTATTTTTCATTAACATAATTTAAAAAAATTCCATTATTTTGAAAGAATTCAACTAAATTCTTCAAAACAATTGAATTATTTTCAAAAATTTTAATATAATTTTTGCCAAGAATTAATTTATGTATTTTCAAAAATTTTGATAACATTCTTTGAAAGAATTCGATTAATTTCATAAAAAATAAAATTCTTTGCGAGAATTATAATAAATTTTTTCGAAAGAATTCAATTATTATCAAAAATTTTAATAAAATTCTTTACGAAAATTTAATTATTTTTAATAGAATTTCAGTAAAATTTCTGGAAAGAATTCAATTATTTTCAAATTTTTCGGTAAACACTTGGCACGAATTCGATGATTTTCATTCAATAGTGTCTAGATTTACAAAATTTACAACTTATTGCAGTTATCACAACCGGATTTTAGATACCGATTTATAATTTAATTTAAAATTAAAATTGTTATTTATTTCATGAAATTTACAATTTAATTAAAAATTAAATGTATAATTTAATTAAAAATTAAATTTATAATTTAATTAAAAATTAAATTTATAATTTAATTAAAAATCTAATTTATAATTTAATTAAAAAAAAAATTTATAATCTATTTTATCACATTTACAATTTCAAATATTCACACAAATCACTAAATACATTGACAGAACCTCTTTTCACCATGATGGAGACATTTTGCACTCTCTTTATAAGAGTCTATTCTATTAATTTCCTCGGCATTAATACTGTAATTACCAGAACCGTAATAATGTACGGTCGCCTCAAATTTCGCCCCACCGGGTGCTAATTGAACCATATAATAATATTCCGCACTTGAATTTTTATTATCCGTGCTTAAAACTTTATAAAATCGAATAATTTTATCTAAATTCAATTTCGAACACAAACGCTCCCCTAAATTATTTTTGTAATTCTCGACAATATTTTCAATATGTTCAACAATTTTTTTAGCACCTTGAGTAACAATTTCACTGGAGGGAGAACTGTTCTTCTCAAACACTGAACAAACACACCAATGGGAAGAGATTCCAGCGTCTTCACATCCACGCTCATCGGGCACAGTCTTGAAAAGTGATTGACATTTGGAGCAACCGGTACTCGATGCAGCATCACCATCAGCTCTCATTAAAATATCACGTAGAGTTTCATAGAGATCAAAGGGAGATGTTAGACGATTTTGATTTGCTGTCAATGATCGATAAGCTTCAGGATTCTCGTCACGGAACCATTTCGGTAGCCAAATGTAAAAGAAGGGAAGTCTTTCCTCGTACCAGCCCATAAAAGTTTTTCTAAATTCACCAAATCTTATTCCATGATCGCTTAGGAAAATTATCATTGAATCGTTCATCACACCTTCACGTTCGAGGTGCTGTAATCTTGAAAGTATTCCCGGATCCAGTATCGATAGGCTACTTAGTGAATTATGAGTGACGGCATTTGTCCAAAAAAAACCAAAATATGGTGTATTTTGAAATTTTACTGCAAAATCTACGGCGGAATTTAGAATTCTCTCTGTCGCTAATTCGGGACCGGTACAATAGTAATTTACAAATCTTCTTCGAGTTTTTAGCAATTTTTCAGTTGCTACTATGTACGGTCTTAGGTAATAATCTGTCGGTGGGTGTACAAATCCCGTCTGAAAAAACAGAAAATTATTTAAAAAGAAAATCAATTAATTAATTAATTATGAATTAAAAATTATGCATATTCTAAAAATTGATAGAATTTACTTTTTTTAATCGAGATTTGAAATATCAGTTTCTTTAGTAAATAAATTAATTTTAGGACTGAAGAAAAACCTAAGAAATTAGAGGCCACAAAAAATCCCAAATTTAAGGGAATTAAGTATTTTTATTATTTTAAGTATTTTTCTAAGCAATTTTGAATCATTTTTTGCTTGGTAATAGAAAAATATTTTTCTAACCAAATTTATACAATTTTTTGCAAGCAAATTTTTATAATTTACTGCGCTTGGAATTTAAGAGAAAGAATATTTTTACAATATTTTTTAATTGAAAATTAGGAGAAAAATATTTTACTACGCAAATTTTTATAATTTTTTGTTTGATAATGAAGAGAAAAGTATTTTTTTTAACCAATTGTTATTTTTTTTTTGCTTGGTAATTAAGAGAAAAATATTTTTTCAACAAATTTATATAATTTTTTGCTTGGAAATTAGAGAGAAAAATTTTTTTAAGCAAATTTTCATAATTTATTGTTTTGAATTTAGGAGAAAGAATGTTTTTTTACAATTTTTTTATGCTTGAAAATTATGAGAAAAATATTTTTTATCCTAATTTTCAAATAAAAAATTTTTTAAATATTCTTCCTCCTAATTTTTAAGGAAACAAATTATAAAAATATACTTTTCTTTATTTCCAAAACAAAAAATTATAAAAACTGTCTTCTAAAAAATATTTTTACAATTTGTAGATTGGAAAATAAGAGAAAAAAAATTTTCGAAACGAATTTTTATAACTTGTTGCTTGGAAATTAGGAAAAAAGTATTTTTATAATTTTTTTCCTCAGAAATTAGAAGTAAAAATGTTTTTATAATTTATTGCTTGGAATTTAGGAGAAAGAATATTTTTACAATATTTTTTGATTGGAAATTAGGAAAAAAATATTTGCTATCCTAATTTCCAAAACAAAAAATATTTAAAATATTGTTTCTCTTAATTTTCAAGGGGCAAAAAATGTTTTTTCTTATTTTCGAAGCAAAAAATTATAAAAATTGTCATCTAAAAAATATTTTTACAATTTTTTGCTCGGAAATTAGGAGAAAAATATTTTTTTAACTAATTTTCAAAACAAAAAATATTAAAAATATTGTTTCTCCTAATTTCCAAGGAAAAAATTTATAAAAATATGTTTTCTTATTTTTAAAGAAAAAATTGTAAAAATTTTCTTCTAAAAAATATTTTGAAAATTTTTTGCTTTGAAAATTAGGAGAAAAAATATTTTACTACGTAAATTTTTATAAGTTTTTGTTTGATAATGAAAAGAAAAATATTTTTCTAAGCAATTTTTATTTGTTTTTTGCTTGATAATTAAGAGAAAAATATTTTTGCAACCAAATTTATATAATTTTTTGCTTTGTAATAAGAGAGAAAAATTTTTTCTAATCAAATTTTCATAATTTATGGCTTGAAATTTAGGAGAAAGAATATTTTTACAATATTTTGTTTGAAAATTATGAGAAAAATATTTTTTATCCTAATTTCTAAACGAAAAAATTCAAAAAATATTGTTTCTCCTAATTTTTAAGGAAACAGATTGTAAAAATATACTTCTTTTTATTTCCAAAGCAAAAAATTATAAAAAATGTCTTATAAAAAATATTTTTACAATTATTTTTTGATTGGAAAATAGGAAAAAAACATTTTTTGAAACAAATTTTTATAACTTGTTGCTTGAAAATTGGGGGAAAGAAATTTTTAATGATTTTTTTTCTTAGAAATTAGGTGTAAAAATATTTTTACAACATTTTGTCTAGAAAATTAGGAGGAAGAATTTATTTTTCAAAGGAAGTTTTTAATATTTTCTGTTTAAAAATTATGAAAAAAATGTTTTTTATCCTAATTTTTAAGCAAACAATTATTAAAATTTTTTTTTTTGCAAAGACTGTAAACATAAAAAAATCGTATAAACTTAGCAAAATTTTCACGCAAAAATTATATTGCATATCTTATAAAAATTTTTGAAATTACAATCTGAATTAAAATTTTATGAAAAATATTAATATTTCTTAATTGTATTTAGAAAAAATATACAGAATTTTTTAATAAGTTATTTAGTTAAATAGAAAAATGTTTTTTTCTTTGCTGAAAAAAAATTTATTTGATTCAGATAACCAACTACTTGTCTATTATGAAATAAATATTTACTTGAATCAAACAATTTTGATTTAAATCAATTAAATTAATAAAATTACATAGTTAAAAAAATATTGAAATACTGTTTAAACTTTTGTTTAAAACAAAAAATTCAGAAAACAAAATTTAGAAAAGAATTTTTAAAAATCTCACCTTTAACCAATTGAAGGTAGACCAATCAGCCTCATCTTCAGCGTAAGCAGTGACATATCCAGCATTTCTAAAATTGTACCACATCATTGGACAATTATCGAGACCAAATGGAACAGTTGGTTTACAATTTTCCGCAGCCTCCTTCTCCCCTTGACCAGTTAAAAGTGCCATTAAATTTGGAAATGTATTTTCACCCATTTTATTGTAGCCCTTCATTAACAGCCAACCTTTTTCATCAAGATAGCCCACTGTCTTTGGAAGATTTCTATAAAAATTTAATCTCGACACATTGTCTAGACCTATCAGGAGTACACTTAATTTTCTCGCTCGATCTGTTGCGTTTCCATTATTTTTTAGTTTAGAACGATTCGAAACCTTTTCAACATTTATAATTGAGTGCACATTTTGATAAATTGGTGTATTTTCTCTATTCTTTAAATCTCTCTTGTTGTCATCATTTTGGCAGGTCACTAAAATTATTTCTGTGTCTTTTGGTAGAATAGCGGAATTGTTAAAGGCAGTGCAATTTTTTACTCTGTAATTATGAAATATATAATAATTAAGACAGAAACGAAATTTATTTTCTATCTGGAAACTATTATTTTTTTTCTTTTTCTGATAATAAGAAAGAAAGAGAAAAAATTTAAATTTCTATTTCGCTGCACTGAAAAAAATTTATTTGATTCAAATAACCGATTACTTATGTCTATTGTCAAATAAATATTTATACTTGAATCAAATAATAATTATTTACCTCTAATAAATTATATCTGCACCAATAAATTTAGTATTTGAACCAATAGATTTAGTATTTAAACCAATAAATTCAGTATTTGAACCAATAATTTCAGTATTTGAAGCAAATACTATTTAATTGATTTAAATAAAAAAAATTATTCGTTCATGTAAATATTTATTTGATAATAGGCAAGTAATCGGTTATTTGAATAAAATAAATTTTTTGTCTCCAAGTGCAGGAATGAAAAAAAATAATTAAAAAAATTTTCCCACCCTTTTGTGATGGCAAAAAATAATTATTAATCATTTAATTTTACTATTAATAATCATCTTATATTTTATTATTTATTTAATTACTTACGTAACGGATGAATCAATATTTTTTTGTGGTTTTGGTTCGTGAGGAATTGGTCTTTCAACTCGAGACCAACAGCAGTTGATATTTTTGAAAATTTCTCTTTCGTTTCTCTTTAAAATTAAAATATTTTGTCCATTCTCGTCTTCAATTATTGCTGTTAGCAGCGGTAGATTTGAACAATTTTCATATTTTTCTTTATTGATAAATTTTGTTATAGACGAATCAAATGGATTTTTCGAGAGCATTCGACATTTTGAATTCCAAATTAAATATTCATCGCTAATAACTAAAAAAACGAAGATATATAAAACTAGTAAATAATAATTTATTTAAACAAATTATTAATTTATTACTTTTTAAAAAATTATGAAAGTTTTGAATTATTTTACATTTAAAACTTCTTTTAAATTCACTTATTAACTATAATTAATTATTATTCGTTATTTTCAAAAATTTTAATACAATTCTTGCTAAGAATTCAATTATTTATTATTAAATTAATTATTATTATTATTAATTATTCAATTATTATTTTACAATTATTCAATTATTTAGCACGACTTCAATTTTTCCATAAATGATAAAATTCTTCCCAGGAATTCAATTATTTTTAAAAATTTTGTTAAAATTCTTTATAATAATTTAAATACTTTTCAATACAATTTCAATTAAAATCCTTAAAAGAATAAAATTATTATTATTATTATTATTATTATTATTATTATTATTATTATTATTATTATTATTATTATTATTATTCCATTAATTATTATTATGAATTATTTATTATTCAATTATTATTTTATAATTATTCTATTATTTATCACGAATTCAATTTTTTCATAAATGATAAAATTCTTCGCGAGAATTCAATTATTTTTTATAAATAATAAAATTTTTCGCATGAATTTAATTATTTTTAAAAAATTTTGATAAAATTCTTTATAATAATTCAAATACTTTTCAATACAATTTCAATTAAAATCCTCGAAAGAATTGAATTGATTGAATTCTTTTCAAAATTTACGCAGTAATTAAATTGTGTATTAACAGATTCAAAATTATAAGTTACAAAAATTAAAATATTTTATTCTTTTCTTACCAAAGTCATCATAAATGTTGTTTTTATTAAATGTTATCCAATATTGAAAACCAATGAGAGATAAAAAAATTAGAATTAGAAAAAATATGTGAAAACGTTGCAAATGGCACACTTTACGAACAGTCAATTTAATTATTTGCATCTTGTATTACTAAGGAGAACTTTTTTTTTTCTTCCAAACACTTTTATTTTTCGGTAATTCCCAACATGAAGCAATGAGTATATTTTTTCTATAAGAAAATCTCATATTTCGCTTGCATATTCATTTTCTTTGTATACTTATCACACTTCTTCTTTAGTTTTGTCACAATTTCGTCGCTTTGAATAATATTACAAATTTAAATTTTTTATTCACTGGATTAAAATTTTTTGTGATAATAATAAATAGAAATTTAAAAAAAAATAAAATAAAGAAGACGGTTTTAGATGTTTTCAGAAAGAAATGTTAGACAGAACTGTGGTATAAGGTAGATTAGGAAAGGAAAAAAAACTAGTCATCCCTCATAATTTGGATGGAACCGGCGTCATTTGAGTAAATATTGTAGTCATAGTTGTCATTATTATCAAAAACATATTATGTTACTTTCCGTTTTTAGTAGAAACTCTAATCTCCCCTTTGAAATTCTCTATAATATAAAAAAATTTATTATCTTTTTTTGGTATACGTTAATTTTCATAGCCGCAGATAAAAAACAATTTTTAAGGTGTTGATAAGATAATATATAGACGTTACCTTTTGATGCATTAAGTTTGCTTTCATATCTCACAGTTTCATATGTTTGCTAATCTGAACAATTTTTTGTTTTAATAATTTTTTTCTCTTTATATATTAATTTTAAAGAGAGGAGAGAAATTTTAGAAAAAAATTAATTTTATTCAAATAACTGCTTACTTGTTTATTAGCATTGAATAAATATTTACATGAACTAAATAATTTTTGCTGCAGACAAACAAATTTGAACCAATAATTATTTTAATCACTATATTAATTTCAGTATTTGAATGATTTATTCAATATTTTCTCATTTTTTAATTCAATTATTGATTTTAATTGACACGAATAGAAAATATATTTTGATACAAATAAATATTTTTTTCTAAACAATAGTTTTTTTCACCTTTGGGAATGAATTTTTAATGCAATACTAGAAGAAGTTTTAGTAAAGTTTGTTATAAATAATTATCGTACTCCAATCTTTAAAAAATCATTTGCATATTTTTATTTCTTTTCATTAGAAAAATTGTCGAGTAAAATTTAATTTACATAACTTTACAGTTTAAATACTTATTCGCATTATTTACAATTTATCTTCACTTCGACTAACATAATACATTGCAACTTAACGAATAAACTTTCTAATTTCTGTTAACAATTTAAAGATATTCAAAAAAATACTACCAGTAACACGTTTTATGAAATCATCTACATTGTAAAAATGGTAAACAGTACTACATAGTAACAAAAAACGATCGGTAATAATTTACATATTTAACAATTCACGATTTTTTAGCACCTTATTATCTTAACTCTCTATGTCTTCCTATTTTATCCAGTTTTTCAAAAATGAAAACTGAACAAAAATTATTACTACTCAAATGTCATAAGTAAAAAATACATCATCTATGGATCTAATAAATTCACGAAAACAAAATTCTTCCTGAGATTTAACTTAATCTATAATTTTTTAAATTATGATCTTTTTTTCATGAAAATTATAATCGAAAAATAATGATACAATTTTTACTAGAATACAAACTGTCGTATAGTTCCAGGAGATGCGATATAATCACGTTTTGTAGAAATCATCGGATATTATCATTTCGTATAAAAAATTACTTTCGAGTGAATGGCACAACAAGTGATTTTTATACATAAAAACAGTATAAACATTCTTCCAAAAATATTAATGAATATTTTAACAATATCTTGACAAAATCAACAGACTATAAGCAAGAGGCTAAAGAAGATGTAACCTATTCCATTGGTTCTTTATTTGAAGATCATGTAAAAGATCGATGCTTCTTGAAGAAGAACCAACAGAAATAAGCTATTTCATTAATTCCTTGTTTGAAGATCGTATAAAAGATCGATGCTTCTTGAAGAATTAAGGAAAATAACCTTTTTTATTGGTTCTTTTTTTGAAGATTATAAATAATTCGGTAAAGAACCAATAAAATGGTGGGTTTTTTTTGAGAATCATTAGGTTCTACTGAGAATTAGACAATCGACAAGGATTTGAAATTTGATTAGAAAAGAATCACTTAATACAGTGACAGTACCTCTTTTGGCCATAATCGAGGCACTTTGAACCAGGTCCGTAAGAATTAATCCTACTTATTTGTTCGTCACTAACACTATAATTACCAGACCCGTAATATTTTATTGTTGCCTCAAATTTCGCCCCACCAGGTGTTACCTGTATCATATAAAAGTATTCCAATGTTGAATTATCACTACTATTAGTATTTAATTCCACAACTTTATGAATTCGATGAATTTTTTTCAATTTAAATTTAGCACACAAACGTTTACCCTCTTTTGTCTTGTAATTTTTGACTATATTCTCAATATGACTGAGTATTTTATCAACACCACGAATGACAATTTCACTCTTGGCATTGTCCTTCTCAAATGCGGTACAAACACACCAATGCTGTGGGATGCCAGCGTCTTGACATCCTCGCTCAATGGGCACTGTTTTCAATAGTGATTGACATTTGGAGCAACCGGTACTCGCTGCAGCATTACCACCAGCTCTCATTAAAATATCACGTAGAGTTTCGTAGAGATCAAAGGGAGATGTTAGACGATTTTGATTTATTGTCAATGATCGATAAGCTTCAGGATTCTCGTCACGAAACCATTTCGGCAGCCAAATGTAAAAGAATGGCAGTCTCTCCTCGTACCAGCCCATAAAAGTCATTCTATAGTCTCCAATTCTCATTCCATGATCGCTTAGGAAAATTATCATTGTATCATTCATTACTCCTTCACGTTCGAGGTGCTCCAGTCTTGATAGAATGTGTGTGTCCATTGACGAGAGGCCATTAATTGAATCATGACTCACTGAATTTGTCCAGAAGAAGCCAAAATATGGTAGACCTTTAAATTTTGTTGCAAAATCAACAGCTGAATTTAGAATTCTCTCGGCAGCAACTTCAGGACCGGTGCAATAACTTCCGCCAAATCTTCTTTGAATTTTTAATAATTTCTCTGATGCTAGCATATATGGTCTTAGATAGTAGTCTGTTGGTGGATCCACAAAGCCAACCTGAAAATTTACAAACAAAAAATTGAAGATGACTTGTGTGCTTTTTGTTTTTCTCTTGTTTTGCTTGTTTGCTCTTTTTGTTTTCTTTTTTCTTTTCTTTTACATACCATTTGTTTTAAGCCAAAAAATTTGAAACACAAAATTAAAAATGACTTGAATTATTTTCTCTTCTCTTATATTTCCCATTTGTTTTTGAGTCAAAAACAATTGAGAAGTATAGGAAAAAGAAAACTGTGAAAAAGTATTGTAGAAAAACAAAAATTACGAGAGAAAAGAATGCCAAATAATCCAATTAACAAATTTCTATTTACAAATTTTGATTAACAAATCTATATTCACAATTTTATATCATGAATTTATTTTTTTACTGATAATTAAATTATTTTAATCATTAATTATTATCTTTGGCAAGTTGATAATGTAATTGGGTTAACCAAGAGTTTACCGATAATGAGTACAAAAGAATTTAAACAGTTGTTGCATAGGAATCGGAATTTGTTATTAAATAAAGTTAGAAGAAGAAAGACTAATACAATAATAAGAAAGGAATACAATAATAAAAAAGAAAGAAATGAAATTAGAGAACATTGCACTGAAGAAAAATGTATTGGATTCAAAAAACCGATTACGTGTCTATTATTAAATAAATATTTACTTGAATTAAATAATATTTACTTGAATTAAATACTAGCTTCAAGTAATAAAATTATGGATTCAAATACAATTTGTTTCATTTAAATAAAAATAATTTCATGTAAGTAAATATTTATTTAATAATACATAGATATAAGTAAGTAATCGGTTATTTGAATCAAATAAATTTTTTTCAGTGTAGAATATTATTACATTAAAAAAAACAAAAAAACAAATTCAATTATTTTCAAAATTAATAAAATTCTTCGCAAAAATCCAATTAATTAAAAAATTTTTTTTAATTATCAACATTTCAATTATGTTTATAAATGAATAGCAAACTTCTTCGACAAAATTCAATTATTTTGAGGGATTTTAATAAAATTCATGGGAAAATTTCAATTATTTTCAAAAATTTTTCTTAATTCAAAGATTTTTGATATTTTACTATTTTAATAAAATTTCTCAAATGAATTCAATTGTTAAACAAAAATTTTGATAAAATTCTACACAAAAATTCAATTATAAAAAAAATAATAATTCACAGGAATTTAATTATTTAATATAGAATTTGCATAAATTTTTTCGAAAAAATGAAATGTTTTAAAAAATTTGCCATTAATTCAGCGCAGTAATTCAATTATTTTCATAAATTTTAAAATTCCTTTTAGGGATTTAAATATTTTCAAAAATAATAAAATAATTTTGAGGAAGTCTATTATTTTCATAAATAATAAAATAATTCGGAGAAAGTCAATTATTTAAATAAATAAAAATATTCATCACAAGAATCGAATTATCTTCAAAAGTAATAAAATTAAATTATTTTCAAAAATTTTAATAAAATTCATTGCAAAATTTTAATTATTTAAAAAAATTTCTCTTAATTCAATAATTTTTAATATTCTACTATTATAATAAAATTTCTCAAATGAATTCAATTATTTAAAATAGAATTTCTATAAATTTTTTCGAAAAAATGAAATGTTTTAAAAAGTTGGCATTAAATTCTTTGCATTAATTCAATTATTTTCATGAATTTTAGAATTCCTTTCAGGGATTTAATTATTTTCATAATAAATAAAATCATTTGGAGGAAGTCAATTATTTTTAAAATTTTTCCTTAATTTAATAATTTGTACATCATTTATTTTAATACAATTTCCCAAAGAAATTCAATTATTTAAAAACAATTTTGACAAAATTCTACACGAATATTCAATTTTTTTCTAGAATAATGAAAATTTCACAGGAATTCAATTATTAAAAATAGAATTTGCATAAATTTTTTCGAAAAAAATAAATTGTTTGCAACTTTTTTATAAAATTCTTCGCAATAATTCAATTATTTTCATAAATAATAAAACTCATTGCAGAATTTCAATTATTTTTAATAAAATTTTAATCGAATTCCTCGAAAAATGTAATTATTCTTAAAAGTTTTATTAAAATTCGCCGAAAGAATTCAATTATTTAAAAATTTGTTGATAAAATTATGTATAAGAATTGAATACATCTATGCTTGTATTTAAACAATTGAATTCTCGTAGAATTTTCTAATAATAATTTATTTAAAAATTAATTTTTCTGTATCCCTTTGCCGAAAGTACTGTCTTCCCGGTCTGATTTGGCTCCGGGAATAGCGACTTTTGTGGCCGGCTCGACAGACCCATCGAGCGCTCTGATTGGTTACAAGAATTTCAACACACGTACATGTTAGCATAGCAACCACACAGGCACGTTACTTACAGAGCTCACGTTTTAAAAACTGACAGTCATCAAAATAATGCTCGAAATTTCTTATTTTCTTTTATTATTTTTTAATTATTTAAAAATATTATAATTTAAATACGATTATTATTATTATTATTATTATTATTATTATTATTATTATTATTATTATTATTATTATTATTATTATTATTATTATTTTATCATATTAAAAATTTTGAGTTTGAACGACATTTTATAGATGTCACTTTTTTAAAGTAGGTTACTACTCTCAATAAATGAATATTTCGAACCGATGATCGTAAAGTAGGTATATTACTATTATTAAATATTTATTTGTAAAAGAAAATTTCTTGTTTACTATTTTTTAAATTTTACTTCCAATTATTTTTTACTTATAATTTTTTTTCATGCCCGCCCCGACCAGCTAAGTCTCGGCTTCGCCTCGACTTTGCAAAAGTCGGGCGGGCAACTTATTCAGCTATTTTATTATTCAAACAATAATTCGGCCTTATATATCACGCCAGCCAGGAAATCCAACTTTCTGGCCTAGTATCGTAATATACTATTAGTTAAAAAGTTTTAGATAATAATTGAATTTTGGAGAAGCTACTATAATAATTGCAGAAAATGGAAGCTGTACATACAAAACCAGCGTAGTAAAAAAATGTAATAAAAAAAAGTTAGTAAAAAGAAGTACAGTAATAGGAAGAATAGTAAAAAGTAAACAAAATATGTACAAGTAATAATTGTAGTAAAAAATATAGTAACAAATGTATGGTAAAATATATAGTAAAAAAGTATAGTAGAAAGCAACATAATAAAATAAAATGTATAGTAAAAAGAAACATAGTAATAAAGTGCAGTAAAAAGAAGCATAGTAAAAACAAGTATAGTAAAAAGAAGTAAAAAAAATAAAAATTCTAATAAAAAAAAATTTTTTTAAAAAAAAATAAAAATTTAATAAAAAAAAAATAAAAAATTTTTTTAAAAAATTTTTGTATTAGTATAGTAAAAAAGAAGTACAGTACACTTCTAATTAAAAAAAGAACAAGTGAATTACATCACCCGAGTAGAATTAAAGCACCTAATTAAAGAATAGAAGAGAAATTTCCATACCAAATGAATAAAAATGCAAATACAACACAAATGTTTCAAAAAGAAGAAAAAAGAAACCAATCCTACAATTGCCAATAAAAAAGAAAAAAGTTTCGAAAAGACAATTTTAATTAATTTCTTCAGCTAACCTTCAAGTAGTTGAATGTACTAATTTTAGCAGCATCTTCAGCGTAAGCAGTGACATAGCCAGAATTTCTAAAATTGTACCACAACATTGGACAATGATCAAGGCCAAATGGACTAGTCGGCTTACATTTACCATAGGAATCAGTTTGCGTTTGTCCAGTAAGAAGTGCCATTAAATTTGGAAATGTATTCTCACCCATTTTATCATAGCCCTTCATTATTAACCATCCCTTCTCGTCAAGATAATTTGTTGACTTTGGCAAATTTCTCTCGAGATTTAATCTCGATACATTGTCAATACCCAATAATAAGACACTTAATTTTCTCTCTCGACTCGTCACATTATTCCCATCATCAGAATTATTAAAGCGCTCAGCAACTTTATTCACATTAATAACTGAATGAACATTTTGATAAATTGTCACTGGATATTTGGAATTTTTCCTTTTTCCCTTTACTTTTGTAATCTCCTTTTTATCTTCACAGGATACCATCAGTGTATCTACTTCCTTTGGTAGAATCACTGAGATGTTAAAGTCGACGCAATTCTGCACTCTGTTGAGAATAAAAATGAGTAATGAATGAAAGAATGTTAAACAAAAATGTGTGGAAATGAAAATAATGACTGATGAGGGAAAGAATGTTAAATGAAGTGTAGAATTTCTTTTTGTTTAACATTTTCCTGATTTGTCATTTATGGAAATTTTTTTAAAGTATTTTTTAATATTAAATACTATAAATTATTCGTCAAATATAAATATAAATATAAATCATTTATGAATAAATTATTATTAAATATTTTAAATATTTTTTTTTTACATTGGAAAATAAATTAGATTTAAAATCGATAAATTTTAATCAAGTCAAATAAATTATATTTGAACTAATAATTTCAGTATTTAAAGGAAATACCATGTAATGGAATTAGATAAAAATTATCTGACTTAAGTAAATATTTATTTGATAATGGACAAGGAATTGTTCTATAGATAAAGTTTTCTCTTCCTATTACGTATATCCTATAAATTATTTAATTATATTATATTTCTATATTAAAAATATAATTATAAATAATAAACGAATATTAATAATATTTTCGTAGGCATTAATTATTTTTCGTTAAAAATGATATTTTCTTTATTCACTTACGTAATTGATGAATCGAAATTTTTCTGAGGATTAGGCTTTTTTGGAATTGGTCTAATAATTGGTGACCAACAACAAAAAACATTTTTCAAATGTTTAGTTTCGTTGGTGTTCAGTACTAATAAATTATTTCCATTGTTGTCCTGAATAATTGATGTTAAGAGCGGCGATTTTGTGCACGTTTGAAATTTCTCCTTTTTTACAAATTTCACTATGGACGGATCGAGAGGACTTTTCGAAGGCATATGACATTTTGAATTCCAAACCAAAAATCCATCGACAGTGACTGAAAACATTTGTTAATTTATAATGATAATAAATTAAAAAAAAAGAAATTTAAATTAAAAAAATTTTTTTAGTTAAAGTACTATGAAATCTCGATAAAAATCGTTGCAATTATCAAGGTTCCAGTGTACGTTGTACACATAATGTAAACAAATATTTAATTTAAAAAAAAAAAAATTTAAAAGAAGTAAAAAAGGATTAAAAAAATTTTAAATGTTAGTATTAATTAATATTAGTATAATAGTTGTTATAATATAATAAATATTAATTAATATTAATATAGTAAATATTATAATAATTAATTTTAATACTAATTAATATGTACTTAAATTAATATATTTAAATAAATAAAATATTAATTTACCAGCATCGTTGTACGATCTATAGGAGTAATATTCTAATTTATCGAATTTATTTCCATTTAATATGTACAAAAGTAAAATGCATGGCAGAATTAGCAGAACCAATCCAGGTCTATGGCAATAATTAATTTCTTTGAATCGAATCCACCTTAATTTCATCATTTTTCTTCACTTCTCTCTCTTTCTCTCACTCAATTAATCAAGATCTGCATAAATCGACAAATAATTTTACAAATTTTCTTTTCACATTGATATTTTCCAATTGTCTCGTTATTTTTTTATACACATATTCACTATGTATTATTTCACCATTATTATTTTTGTTCACATTCATTTTTGACAGTCTTCTTTATTCTTTCTGTATATACGTCTTTTGTTTTTTTTTTTAATTAAAAATTTTCCATTTATTACTTTGTCATCATTTTTTCTTTTGTTCATTTGGAGAAAAATTCTGTAAATAAAATAACAGTGAAAAAATTTATAATTTAAAGAAAAAAATTGAAAATCAAAAAATTTAAAAAAGCTGAAAATAACAAAATTAAATATAAAAAAATTGAGAATAAAAAAATTAAATTTAGAGAGAATTGAAAATAAAAAAAGTGAAAAATATATTCTAAAAATGTAGGGATATGTATTTAATGACAATATTAAAAAAAATAATTTTACAAATATATTAGAATAAAACAATTATTATAAATAACAATTATTAATAACAATTGTTAGTGATAAAATTGTGTCATTTACTTAAAAAGTTGAAGCAATTATACGCAATTGAAGAATAAATTATTTTTATAAGAGAGAAATTATTTTATTATTTATGTGAAAAGTAGAAATATTGACATTTGACGAGGCTATAAATAAAACAGCATTCTTACGACTATACTTTTTTCTATATAATAAGAAATATTTCTTATTGGTATAGAAAAAAAGGAGCTGAAAGAATTCTATTGTATATATATAATATGAAAATGAAGCTTATAGTTTCTCTTTATAGGTCACTGATGAAAATATTATTTCTACTCAATCGAACTATTATATTCAAATTTTATTTATATTTCTATTAGCATTCAATTAAATTTGATTTTATAGAAAATTTTTCCCTGTACTGTGCTATCATTATAAACCTTTTAATTAATTTATTTAAAAAAAAACTTAAAAAGTATTTGCTTTTTAATTAAGTACACTATTTTTTCAAATAAAACACAGTTCGATAGATTTAATCAAGAAATTTTAAAATAAAAAATAAAATATTTTTTTTTAAATATATAAATATTAATATTAAATTAATAATTAAATGAATATTGAATTTAATTCTGTCAATTTTTATTACAACTCTTTAATTAATTATACTTATAATAAATGATACAACAACAAAAATAATTATTATCTATAAAGAAGAGAAAAATATACAATATTAAATTGACAATTAAATGAATATTAAATTTTGGTTTTCTAACCAAAATTTAATTACTAGTAAATAATAATTTATTGGTGAATAAATATTTATTTCTTATTTGAATTTTCTTATAATAAATTACAAAACAAGAAAAATAATTATATATAAAAAAGAAGAAAGGAAATAATATTAAATTAATATTTAAATGAATATTAAATTTTAGTTTGCTAATTTTTATTAAATTATTTATTAGTAAATAAATAATTATTTATTTGTTAAATTTTCTTCTAATAAATTACAAAACAAAAAGAATTATCTAAAAAAAAGAAAAGAACTATTTATTTCATACACTAGAAAATATATACATTTTCTCTTAGAAATAATAAATTGTTATTAACTAAATATTAAAATTTAAATTTTTAATAAAAACATTGTAGAATATTAGTAAAGAGAGTCAGAATGTACAATGTGAATTGTATATAAATACACAAAATTATATAAATACATATACTGAGAGTAAGTTACATAAAATTGAAAGTGTCTCAAGAGAAATTATACTGAATCGTGAAGTAGAAAAATATTTTCGAAATTTAAACTAAAAATTTGAAATAAACAATTACCTAATTGTTAAATTGATGATATATCCAGAAAAATAGTATAATTATATTATGCTTGTAACTTGACACATGAAAAACAATGTCACACTATTACTTCTTGAAATTATAAATGCTCTCGCTAGGCAGCACAAACTCAGACTAAGCCAACCATTTTTGAATTGCGCAAGACTAGCTCCCCTCCGACAAGTGCACGCCTGTCATTGAAGGGTAGTTTTCAATAATAGGGGTTTAATAATTGCTCTTTACTTGAAAAGGTTATTATCATTTTTATATACGTCGTTTTTTTAAAAATATTTTTTACATCAATTTTTGCAAATAAACTATTATCTGAATTTTATTTTATTTCAAATAAATATTATTATTATTATTATTATTATTATTATTATTATTATTATTATTATTATTATTATTATTATTATTATTATTATTATTATTATTATTATTATTATTATTATTATTATTATTATTATTATTATTATTATTATTATTATCATTATTATTTTGTATATTTATTATTTTTTACTATATATTTATTTATATATATTTTATTATACAGTGTGTGGCAAAAGAATGGAATGCCTTATAAATATTTCTCAAAATATGTATTTTGGAGCAAAATTTTTAAGACAAAAGTTGTTAGGCTTTAAACAATGCATTAAAATTAATACATTTTTTGAAGTCGAATAATTTTTGTTCCAAACATTTTGCCTCAAAATACAAATTTTAAGAAATATTTAAGGGGTTCTATTCTATTGTCACACTTTGTATATAAATATATTATATTTTTAAATATTGTATGCTATTCATTACATTTATTTACTTAAAATAAAACTATTAAAATATTACTTTAACGAGCAGACACGAATCCCTTGATTTCGACCATTTGTAATTTTTCCACTTGACAGAAAAATTAGATTTATTATTAATTTTATAGCTAGAGAAAAAAGAATTAGTTAATTATTTATTATTAATTAATTATAACAAAACAGAATTTGCTTACGTATATTTTTACTTTTTTTCTTATAAATTTTCATAATAATTTAAAAATAAAGTTGACAGAAATTTTTGAAAGGAAACTAAATTATTTCGGAATACCTTACATCGTTATTATTATATTAAATAAACATTAAGTAGGACAATCGCATTTAATGCTAATATTAGTTAATTATTTTATCATTAACAGGGTGGCCGCAAGTCAGGGAAAAACTGGAAATCAGGGAAAAGTCAGGGAATTTTGTTAGTCAGGGAAAAATCAGGGAAAAGTCAGGGAATTTTTAAAAATTCTTTAAAAGTCAGGGAATTTTGATCGAAAGAAACCACAAATTAAAAAACTTTGATACTTAAATTTCAATTAATTTTTTTATTTAGCCGTTTTTGTAATATAGCTCATTATAATGGTGCCGTCACATTTTTTATAAGTTTGGACCTTCTTACGGATATTTTAATGTAGAATATTAAATAATTCAAAAATTTTTTAGTCAGGGAAAATCAAAAATTAGTCAGGGAAAAATCAGGGAAAAGTCAGGGAATTTTGAAAATAAAATTTTGCGGCCACCCTGATTAAATTTTGATAATGTCAAGTATGAGTAATTGGGAAGAAAATTCCTCGTATTCACCAAAAATATCAGTTTTTTAATTCAGAAAAGTAGTTGTTTTTCTGACTTGTTGCGTCAGTAACTTGAAGAAATAGATAATTTCTTTATCCGTGTTGTAGTTTTTATTTCAGTAATAGTGATTTTTTCGGAAATTAACATAGAATTTAACACGTATATCAAATATCAGAATGAATGTAATCTAGTGAGATAAGAATTGGAGCCATTTTGAATAAATGACTGATTTTTTGCATTTGAAATAATACCTTTTTTTAATAAATAATAAATTCTACTAATTTATTATTAAAATTCACTGATTCAAAAGCGAAAAGTCAGTTACAAATTCAAATTAGTTTTTTCGAATTCAAATTTAGGGAATAGATATAATTATTTTTCTTAAATAATAAATATTTTTTACTATTTTTAAAGGAATACTAATTTATTTGGAAATACATTAAAGTAGCATATTATTTTACATAAACATTAAGAGTGTAAATCGCATGTAATAAACATAAAATATAATCAATTATTTTATCATTAAATTAGATTTATTTCAAATATAAAGTGCATGATGAAATAACATAAAATGATATAAATATGTTTAGGAGATCTACTTACAGTACATTATTTTCTTATCGATAATATAGTTTTTATTCTACGTATAATAGTGGATTTTTCGGAAATTATAATTTAAATTACCGTTTTTATTAAAAGAATACAGTTATCTTTTTTTCATTTTTATTAAAAACGGTTTTATAAATTGTTTGTAAAAATAAACAATAATCCAATAGAAAATAGCTTAGAAACTATGAATTATTTAAAAGTAGTAAAAACTATTAAATATTAATATACAAAAATTGCTTAATGCCCGACGAATACAAAGAGTGTAAATAACCACATATTGTTATTATATATATTACTAATAATGTAAACATGTATATAAATGAAGATATTACATGGCTTACAATGTACACAGACATAAAAAATAAATACACATTTCAATGAATATTGTATCAACTACTAAAACATATTTATCCAAAAAAAACAACTACATTTTACTCAGTCTTAAAAAAATATGTCTCATTTTCAAGAGAAAAAAGAAAGTTATAATTTTTAATTTGTTCTTTGGCTATTTGTAGCGACCGTTATTTTTTTCAATTATCCATTTTTAAATATTTGTCAAATGAAAATTTTTTTTCTCCTTATGATAATAATTATTGTAGATTTAAATTTACAATTGTAAAAATTACATAGTGTTTTTTCGCAAAAATTTATACACCCAGAGAATAGTTTTATTTGAACCAAATATGATTTATTTGAGTCAAATAAAAGTATATTTGTCCCTATTAAATTTTTTATTTGCTTTGAATAGAAATTTTATTTGTCAGAAAATGAATTTTGAACCAAATTAAATTTTTAATAAAGCTAAATTTTGTACCAAATTAAGTTTTGACCAAAATTAAGTTTTGACCCAAATTAAATTTTGTACCAAATTAAATTTTGACCCAAATTAAATTTTGAACCAAATTAAATTTTGTACCAAATTAAATTTTGAACCGAATTAAATTTCGTACCAAATTGAATTTTTACCCAAATTAAATTTTGAATCAAATTAAATTTCGTACCTAATTAAATTTTGAACCAAATTGAATTTCGTACCAAATTTAATTTTAAACCAAATTAACTTTGTTACCAAATTAAATTTTAAACCAAATAAAAAATTCAGTATGTTCTGAATTAAATACATTTCTTCTGGGCGTTTGACATTAATTTATAAATTCGTTAATTTATTATAAAAGAAAGTCGAATATTTCTTCCAACATATGATGAATGTAATTTGCTTCACGGCAAGTTGTTATAAAAGAACTGGTTCCTTAAGCAGCGCATCCTGTAATGATTGGACAATTAACTTCCTGTGCAATGTCTCACAACGTGCAGTGATATAATTTTAATGCCCATGAGAAAAGATCTCACGCCCAATTGCGACTGCATTTACAGCTTTTGTATAATCGTATGTGTTTTAAGCTTTAACTATACAATAATGCGCAAAAGCATTTAAGCGCACGTCGACTCTGAGTGGGGATAATGTGAGTGAGAGAGAAAATTCGAAACTTCTCTCTCAGACTCATTGCCCCCACTCCGGTACTTCTCTTGTATTTCTTCTCTTTTTCTTTACGTATTTAAACTAAATTTTTAATAATGCTTGAATTTTAAAATTATAGATACTATAATGTATATTAATAATCGTTGTATTTCGAGTTTAATTATAATTGACAATAATTTAGTTATGATTGAATAATTTAATTATGATTGATAGTAATTTAATTATGGTTAATAATAACACTATTTTTGAATGAACAGGGCTCGAACCAGTGAAAGTATTTAAAAATACGAACTTTACTATTTGATACCTACTATGAAGTTGAGAGTGGATTTAATTATTAGTTAATTATGATTTTTCTCTTAATTACTTATTTTTTTGTAATGTATTGCGGTAAATTTTTAATACTCACTGCAGACTGAGCAATTTATTTCATCGGAATTATCACCACAGCCATCTCTTCCACTGCAAGCAATCGCATCTGATCGGCATCTTCCATTTTTGCATTTAAATGGACAAAATTTAGGAGCCACTCGACCTTTATTTCTCGTTCGGCATGCATCGTGAGGCTCGTCACTTCCATCACGGCACGAAACAACAGCATTGCAAAATTCATAAGCCGGGAGACATTGTCCATTGTTACAACGAAAAGCACCCTCCGGGCATCCTAGAAAAAAAAATTCTTAATATTCTTCCGATTCTATCATCTTATCATATTCTTACAATTCTTATTATTTTTGTTATATTTTTTTTTTTTTTTAAGAAAAATGATGAGAATAATGGAAAATTACTTCTTCGACTGCGACAGCTTTCTTCATCTTCGCCATTCGGACAATCGCGGTTACCATCGCATAGTAGTGCCATGGAAATGCACATACCACTTCTGTGGCAAATGAAAGCCTGCGCCGGACACTGTGTGGTCGAGCATACCTCATCTGAACCGTCCTTACAGTCTTGTTTACCATCACAAACAAAAAACCAGCTGATACAAAATCCGGTACTTCGGCATTGAAAAGTTCCAGGCTCGCAGCCTTTTTTTCGTGCACTACAAGTAGCGTTTCCTTTTCCGTACGACTTACAATCACAGATACCATTTATGCATCGCGAATTAGAATCTGCCATTTGACATTCAATGTTCGCTGTACATGGCAAACCAAGACTGATTACAGAAAAGGCATTTCCGCCCTCGTGTCGTTCTGTCTTCATTGGAACTGGAAATTTTCATTTAATTCTCGATTAGAAAAAAAAATTATTCTCCACTGTTTCTCGTATTATCATTTTTTTTAACATCAATTCGTTATTTAATTATTAATTCACTACAATTAATTTTTATTAATTATTGGTTAGTTCATTGTTGGATAGTTCGAAAATAAAAATAAATTGAAGAAATAGAATAAAATTTATTGAATCTACAATTAGCTTCAGTTAGTGATCGTTTAGACTCCTAGCTGCAATTCCTACGATTGTTTGTATTGTTCTAATTCTTGAAAATCTTTACTGAAAATTAATACTTCTGTGAAGTAACTTCAATGGTTATTAAATTTGAGACTACCATAAATAACGAAAATATTTATTAAAACCATGTTTTCGTTTATTTTAATTTACAACGAGCGTTAACGAAAACAAAATTAATTTTCAACCTAATCATCAACTGAAGCTATAAACAATTGAATTGAAAGCATTGTTCTCTGCAATTTTTAACCATAAATCTTTTTGACAACTATGAAATCATTGGTCTTCAATTGTTAACCATACTTTTAAACATTTACAAACTACCAATTACTATTTATCAACTACCTTATTAAAATTACCAATTTTTAAGCAAAGTTTTTCTGATGATATCAAATTGAGATAAAAAACGAATCAAAACGTTGCTTGGCAACATTTTTTATTCATTTTTTGTCTCAATTTGATATTCTTAGCCAAACTGTGAAAATATTAATGCTACAATTACATAGGTACTATAGGTGTAAATTGCAAATAAATAAAACTACTGAAACTATACTTAACCACTGTTTTAAATTCCCAGAAGTAGAAACTATCATTAAATAAAACTACAATTTAGCTAAAAGTATATTATTAAATGCAAATAGCAATGTAATTGAAAATTACAATAACATTATCATAAAGTAAAACTTACTTAGGTTTCAATTAAAATTGTTCGAAACTACCATTAACTGAAGCTATCAATTATCATTAATTGTAATTATAATATTGCGTGAAAACTACAATTAATTATGAATAATTAAATTATTATATGATTGCGACTATAATAATAATAACAACAATAATAATGATAATAATGAAAAGAAGAAAGACCAATTTTAAGTGAAAATATTACTTCTAAGACTCTAAAAAAAATTTGAGTGAATAAAAATATCGAAAAGTAGAGGAAATTAAAAATTGAAATCAGTTTATATTAATTGTCTCCACCTGCGAACGCCAAGGTCACCGCCAGATGTCAGTTCAGTTGATAAAATCAGATTCCTCGCCACCTGGTGGCAATCTTGGCGTTCTCAAGTGGAAAAATTCATTTTATATTGCATTAAAACTACAATTATTTATAAAAATTAAATTATTATAATTGTAATTATAATAATAATTATGACAATAATAATTATAATAAAATTGCAACTAAAATTGATGGAAACTACCACTAACTGAAGCTATTAATTACCATTAATTTTTAATTGAAGCATTGGGTGAAACCAACAATTTATTATTTATAATATAATTATTATTAATAATTACTCTCGAAATTTCAATTATTAAAAATGTTTACTAATTTGAATTAGTGACATTAAATTAGTAAACATTAAACATGTTGACTAATTTGAATTAGTGACTGACTTTTTGCTTTTGAATTAGTAAATTTTACTAATTCAAAAACAAAAAGTCAGTCACTAATTCAAATTAGTAAATATTTTTACTACTTCAAATTTAGAGAGTAAGAATTATAAAACTACTATATAAACAATTTATTACATATTTTTCGAAATGAATTTTAAAAATAAAAAAGTTTCTCTTATTAAAAAACGTAATAGAAAATAATAAATTAAAATTAATAGTAAATTAATGAATTGATTTTATATAAAGGTTTATCAATTAAATATTTTCGTAGTTTATCTACATACCAGAAACAGTGACAGGAACAGAAGTCGTTTGAATAAGTTCAGTAATCATCGCGTCTACAATAACAGCATCATTTTCTTCGGGAATATCATTATTTCGATTATGAATTGGTTTTGAGTGACTTGGCGATGATCGAGTCACAATTAAAATTGATTCTGAATCTACTGTCGGCGTTGTAGAAAGAAGTAAACTTGCATTTTTCAACCACGATAATTGAACACCTGAAAATTTATCATCAACACTTTAAATATAAAGATAATTAGTATGAATGAATAATTAATACAAACAATTAATTAATATATATTCACGGAAAAAAATTTACCTAGAACAACGATAAGTTTCTCGAAAATACACTGAGAATTTTTTTTTCAAACCAAAAATACAAAACCAACCAAAAAAATAGGTTTGAATGAAAGATATTTTATAATTGAAGTGAACGTAATTTTTATTGAATACAATAAGTTTGATGCAATAAAAAATTTGATTCAGTACATAGTAAGCTATGTACTGAATCAAAATTATTATGTTTAATTCAAAAATAATTTTTCTTACTCTGTATAACAAAGATAATTATGTTTGATTCAAATATATTGTTTTCTCAGTGTAGCGATAATTTTAACTAAAACAACTAAAAATTTTCCTAACATAGTGGAAATTTGCAACTGTTTGAGGTAAAAAAAATTGTTTCGTGTTGTATATATAAAATATTAATGGATTAATTATATTATTAATATATGAATTGTGTATTAAGGAATATATATTAATATAATATTAATATATTAATTAATTTCTGTAATAATTTGTTTCATTATTAATAATTTATTAATTATTATAATGTAGATGATGATAATTAATTTTTATGAATTCATACAGCAGAAGAGGAGGGGAATTATTTATCATATTATATTTCTTTTGATATTTTATATTATAATAATATCCTAGGCTCTCTCACCAGTTTCCGCTTCCTGATTGATGAATTCATCGTTGTTAAGATAGTTTTGCTGTGTCACATCGTCATTTGGTTTCTGCAGGACAGATTGCTGTTGTAAATCAAAAGCCGGCCTAACAAGACGATCGGGACGGCAAACATTACCATCGCGACGCATTGGCGACGTGCATTCACAACGACCAAATAAATTTGGAATCAAATAATCGCAATGTGTATCGCTGTCCCATAATCTACAATGATCATTACTGTAGCAAACTTGTCCCAATTGTGCGGCTGAAATTATTCGGGGAAAATCAATTTTTTTTCTAAAAACTATTTCAATTCAACAATATTTCAATTGAAATTATTTCAACCAAAAATATATTTCAATTGAAATTATTTCAACTAAAAATATATTTCAATTGAAATTATTTCAACTAAAAATATATTTCAATTGAAATTATTTCAACTAAAAATATTTCAATTAAAATTAATTCAACTATAAATATTTGAATTGAAAGTATTTCAACTAAAAATATATTTCAATTGGAATTATTTTAACTAAAAATATTTCAATTGGTATTATTTCAACTAAAAATATTCCAATTGAAATTATTTCAACTAAAAATATTTCAATTATAAAATTCTTCCAATCAAAAGCATTCTAATTAAACGTATTTCCATTAAAATATTATTTTAGTTACAATTACTTCAATTAAAAATATTTTAATTAAAAAGTTTCTAAAAAAATATTTTTAATTTAAAAATTTTTAAATTGAAATTTTAATTAATAATTTAATTGTTTCATTTGTTTGTTTAGTTTTTAATTTTAGTTTCTTTTTAATTGAAGAATATTTTTAACAGATTTTTTTTTAATCTAAAATTTGTCAGTACATAATAATATTTTTTTAAATCATTTTTATTTCTATTTAATTTTTATTTCACATATTCTGTTGTAAAACCACAAAATTACCCGTGACCAGTAAATATCGATATCTTGAATTGGCAATTTAACGCACCACAGAAACCATTTTTGATTTTACGCTCAATGTAAGTTTTGACCGCAAGAATTTATATTACTATTTTCAGAAAAATTATATCCACACGTTATTATAATGAATACTAATTTAAAAAAAAAATACATAGCATAATTGTTTTTATTATACGGAATTATATTATATTTTATTTGAAAACAAAAAAATATTCTTACGTCCTAAACAAGTGTGTTTTCGATACTGCAAAAATCCATCTTCACACCTGCAAAGGCCAGTCTGGCAAGTGCTGTTGGCTACCTTTAATGAGCATTGCTCTTTAATGAGGCAATCTTGTCCAAGAAGATTTGCTGTAATAAAGAAAACAAAATTTTTCCTATAAATAAACAAGTCCTCTATTTGCGTTAAGAGGAAAATTTCTCTATAATATTTACAGTAAGGTAAAAAAGAAAATGGAATTTTTTTTCCTAATTATCTTCACTTTTGATTTTAAATTACAAATCCCCCTCCAAAACAAAAAAAAAAGAATAGAAAAAAAAATAATTAAACAATTTAATGATTGGAATTTTTCAAAGATGCTGTGAATTATTTCTTCTTTTTCTTGCTCTATACTCTTTTGCATAGTTTTCTTGAGAGTATCAATTCTTTTTAAAAAAAACTATTCGTTCTAAAAAAAAAAGAAAAAACAAAAAAAATTGTCTAAAAAACGTTTTAAGAAGGCTTTTGGAACGAACATAATTTTCTGCCCAGAGGAAAATTAATTTAATAATAGATTAAAATTAAACTAATAAATTTTACCCGAATATAAAAAAAGAAAAAAAAATTTTTTGTTATGAAGAAAAAATTTTTCTAATAAGAATTATGAATAGAGAATATGCTAAATTTGTAGTTACGAAGAACATTAAGTTGAGCCTAATATGGAACAATGGTATAAAGGAGATGAGGCAAAGGAAGAAAAGTAACTATAGACTTGTCATTTTATTTATGAACGTTTCTTTTTCCTCTCTTTCTTCCTTTAATATCTATTAACTCCAACTTACATTCTAAGCAGTGGGTGCTATTATATTCAGCAAAAAAGGGTAGGCATCGGCAATAGCCCAAGTAACATCGACTGTTCATGATGCTGCCTTCACACTCTCGATCTCTACTGCATTCTTCTCCTAATAAGAATGTTCTCTCTGTCGGTGAGGCACTTGCCATTATCTGCAAGACCAACAGAATTTTCATTCCTCTTTCAATCGCTTTTAAATACTTACCTGATTAATAATAACAATAAATAGCAAATCATAACACTAGTCAAATATTAATATTAATAATAATAATAATAATAATAAAATAATCAACTTTAAAACCAAATTTTTTTATTATTTTTAATTTACAAATATATTTAAAAATAAATAAAATTTATTCTTTCGTCAGTTCGAAGTTAGTTGTTGTTTGCTTTTTTGTTATCTAACTTCTTTAATAATTTTTGTTTTTAAATAAATAAATTTTAGATTTAAATATTTTCAATTTAAAAATTTAATGTATTGAAAATCATTGAATTCTTGCAAAAAAAATTTTTAAAATAATTTAATTTTATAAACAATAAATTAAAATAATCGTGTTTCTTAATAATTGAAATTAAACATTTCAATAATTGAATTTTATTAACATTTTTAGAAAATAATTAAATTTATCTCAGAATTTTTCTCAAATAATATAATTCATTCAAGGAATTTTATTAAAATATAGAAAATAATTCAATTCCTTCAAAACATTTTTTTAATTTATTATATATAATCAATAAAATAGTAAATATTGAATATTAAAATAAATAATAGGTAGTAAAATTAATAATTTTACTATTAAAATTAAAAAAAAATTTATTTATTTAAACTATAGGGGAGAGTCTCCAGTTGTGAGACACCTCCAGTTGTGAGACAGTCAATTTTTTTTAACATGCAATATTAAAAAGCCGATTGGTTTATATAAAAACATTTCTTTTTATATGAGCCAACTTTTTCGTGTACGCCGAAGCGGATATATAAACTGTTTTTGTTAAATACCAACACTGTGTGTGATAATCGACTAAAAAGCGTTTTTTCAATAAATGCAAAGTACTTTTTTTCCAAGTTAATTAATTGGAAAAGGTAAATGTAATGCATTTTCTTTTAGTGTTTTCTTTATATTTTGTGATGCAATATTGCATTGTTCCAATCTACGGTTGAAAATAATTTAATTTTCCTTTTTCAAAATAGCGCCAATTTCTGGGTGTGAGACACAGCATATCACCAGTTGTGAGACGGTGTCAACACCCATCTGGGCAGCATAAAAAATACGACTTTGCAGGCATACTATTTAAATGTTGTTTTCATTTTTTTTCTAGTATTTTTGGGCATGTCAAGTGGAAAAAAGTCAATTGATTCAGAAGAAATCAATTTTAATGCTCTTGTTCAAGCTATTAAATTGTGTTTATTTGATAGTCATATTTTAGCGAATAAATATTATTATTTAGTATATAATAATATATATTATTAATATATTTAATTATTTATACTAAACATAACGTTTTATGTCAAACTTATTAAATTTTAGCAATTTTTAATGAGTGTCTCACAACTGGAGACATTTTTTTTTTTGACAAAAGCGATGTGCTCGGAAAATGTATCGTAAAATTTTTTGAGTTCATCGAAACACTACACTTTCTTTTAATAAAAGTTGCGTATTTCTGTTACCTTTCGAACGGTGTATTTTATTAACAATTTCGTTTACCTGTTTACAATTTACGGGTCAAAAATGAAACCCGTCTCACAACTGGAGACTCTCCCCTACCTATACGGGATTACAATAAAAAAAATAATTGCATAAAAATTATAATAATAAATTAATAATTTTACTATTATTTATTTTAAATTATTCATAGAAAATTAAACTCTTTTAAACAATTTTATTAGAGTTTTTGTAAATAATTGAATTATTTTGAAGAATTTTTTTAAGTTCTTTTTAAATAATTTTGATTTTAAAATAATTTTAATTGAAAATTTTAAAAATAACTGAATTAAACAAAGAATTTTTTTTAACTTTTTAAAATAACTTATCAAAATAATTGAATTGTTTCAAAAGATTTATAAAAATTTTAGTAAATAGTTGAATTGTTTCAAAAATTTTGTAATGAATTAAGAAAAAATTGAATTCTTTCGTGATATTTTATTGAAAATAATTTAATTTTTGTAAAGATTTTACTAGGTATTTAAAGTAATAATTGAATTGTTTTGAAGGATTTATGAAAATTTTATAAAATAATTGAATATTCTTCCGAAGAATGTTATTATTTTTTAAAATAATTGAATTCTGTTCTTTAGTAAAAATTATTATAGTATTAATAATAAAATAATATTAACAAAAAATAGTAACAAGTGTGATAGCTCTGTGGCTTTAATGCTGTATTCGTAACAGCAAGGTTTAGGGTTCGATTCTTCGCGACTGCAGATTTTTATTAACAACTAGCTGTCGTACCCGTCTTCGACGGGTTTTATTTTCTACCAATACATTTAAGTGTGTCTACTAATCTGGAAAATCAGAAAATAGCAAGGGAATTTAATTTGACCGGAAAAAAATAATAATTAGTTACCATTATAGCTATTTTAGTAGGAAAATATTACTATTTGAATCAGCTTAAATTTTGACTCGGGTCTGTTTTCATAAATATTATACATCAATAAAAATTAAAGTAAAAAGCAATTTTTTAAAAGCGAATTAATATAATGAAACTTTTTCTTAATTTCATAGGAAAATTCCCGGTTCGGCATATTCCCAGCTTTTTACAGTGTTTCCCGTTTGGTAGATACCCAGTTAAATGTATTAGTATAGAAATAGAAAACTGTACGACAGCATACTAATATAATCTATATTTATAATTATGAACTTAAGAAACAGTATTTTCATAAAATATGTAAATTTTTATAGCCATTTGTAGATTTATTTATGGATAAAATCAAGTAAATTTAAATTTGACAAAAAAGAGATAAACCGTGAAAAATTTGGACAAAGCAGGAAATTTTGTTAAACAAAAATAGACACCGTGTTAACTTTTGTCCTTACATTGCTCAAAACATCTCTTAAAGTTAAATCTAGAGTTAAAATGAAAAAACGTTTTAACATATAAGTTTTTGCCTGGTGGCATAATATGCTTGTATAGTATCACAGGTGACTTACAATTCTTGACATCCTGCAAAATCATTTTAATCATAAAAAATTTGCATTTTCAATATTTCTGAACTTCTTGAAAATATTAGATTGATTTGATAAATAATTTTGAATTGCACTATTTTGACGTCAAAATATTAATCAGAGACTCCAAAAATACTACTGAATTAAACTTCATATAGTAATTAGTATCGATTTTTTGATATTGAAAATATTTTTATATTTCTTGTAGGATAGTATTTTTTGCAAAATTATGATAAAATCTGACTAAATAACATATAATATTCAATTTTAAAAAGTTTAAAAGCTATTCATTAAAAATTGCGAAATTTGGAAATTTTCCATTTTTGAAGTTTTTGAAAATATTTTTATATTTATATCTTAGTTGTAGAATAGTATTTTTTGCAAAATTATGCTAAAATGTGACAAAATAACATGTAAAAACTCAAATATAGAAAGTTTAAAAGCAATCCATAAGAAATGTAAAATTTTGAAATTTTCGATTTTTTGAAAACATTTTTATACTTACATATTAGTTATAGGACTTTATTTTTTGCTAAGTTATGCTATAATGTGACTAAATAACATGTAATACTCAAGTATAGAAACTTTAAAAGCAATCCATGAAAAATAAAAAATTTTGAAATTTTCGATTTTTTGAATTTTTTGAAAAAATTGAATATCTGCCGTTCTAATTAATATTTTTTAAATCTGTAAATTTATAAACCTTCCTTGGGTCAATACCTAATAACCTACCAAGTTTGACTTAAATCGATTCACATGTTTTTGTGTGATTGGGGTACAAAGTTTTTGTGACAGACAGACATACATGCATACATACATACATACATACATACATACATACATACATACATTAAATTTTTTAAGAATATTTTTGGAATCTCTGATGTCCATAATAACTAATCATGTTAACATTTTTAAGTTTCAAGCAATGTACAGACAGACATCTGATTTTATTAATAAGGATGACATTAACAACAATCACAGTAATATTAAAGAAATAATAATAATATTAGAAAAAATATTAAGAAAAGGTAGAAAATGAAGAAAAAAAAATTAAAAGAAGAAAATAAGGAAAAAATAGAAGTAAAGAATAAAATAAAAAGAAGAGAATAATAGAAGAAGTAGTGGAAGAAAAATTATAGAAAATAATAAAGAAAAAATACAAGAAAATTAATAGAAACTAACGAAAAAAAATAGAAGAAAAATGATTGAAAATAATAAAGAAATAGTAGAAGAAGAAATAAATATAAAAAAGAAAAAAATAATCTACAATCTCTTGCGGCAGAATAAAATAAAAGTTTCCTGAACAATTGTAAAGGCGAAATTCGGTCATGAAGAAAAGTAGGCAACGGTCTATTTGGCCATTTTTGATTTCGTTTTTTTCTGTGTTCTCAATTTTTTTTTATTTTCTTTTATAACCCTTATTGTCGATTCTCCTATATGTCTTGAAATTGCATTCGCACTCACATTTACGACTATGTGGTGGTCTTTCTTCGTAACTAATCGCTTCCCGGTTTCCCACGATCTGCAAACAATGTGAACGGAACATTGCGCCTAAAGGAAAAGAATTTTACAAAGTATACAAGTTTTACAGAAAACTAACCCGATTTACTTTTATTCAATAGATGTATATTTATAGACTCAGATATATAGAAATGTGTGTCTGATTATGCGATGATTTTGCATTTACTTTGAGAATTATATACATTATTAAATATAAATTATATTATAATGACTGCGTAGTCGGTATATTAAATTATAGCTTCAATACATTTTCAAGAATACGAGTTTCTATTTTGAAGAAAGAATAATTAATAATAATTTTAAATCTATTTGAATCGTACTTGCAATATATGACTGTTTGCAATAATGATTTGCAATTTTTAGTAATTTTATTTATATCTTCATTTTTTATTAGGTCTTGGACTAAATTTAGAAATAAAAAATAGTATCAAAAGTGACATTTCATTAATTATAAAAATGTTTTTGAA